GTGAATCACAAGTCTCGAGTCTCGAGACTCGAATCACCGAGTACTGACTACCAAGTACCAAGTACTGAGTGCCGAGTGCCGAGTGCCGAGTGCCGAGTGCCGAGTGCCGAGTGCCGAGTGCCGAGTGCCGAGTTCCGAGTTCCGAGTTCCGAGTGCCGAGTGCCGAGTGCCCTGAGGCTTCCGGGTATTAAAACACAGATAGCCCTCGCTCTCAGGGGGTCATCAGAATTTAGATCACCTCAAACGGATGTGATTTGGGTGAGATATGAGCAAAATACTATATACCGTGGTGAATTTCAGCATTGGAAGTTTGATGCTTTCGATGTTTTTGATGTCGGGTCTCGATGATTTCGGGCATTAACATGTAGATAGCCCTCGATCTCAGGGGGTGGCAAAATTTAGATTGTCTGAAACAGATATAATTTGAGTGAGATATATGCAAATACACACACTGACTACTGAGTGCTGAGTGCCAAGTGCCAAGTGCAGAGAACCGAGTTCCGAGTGCCGAGTGACCTGATGCTTTCGGGTATTAAAAGCCCTCGCTCTCAGGGGCCCGTCAGAATTTAGATCATCTCAAACGGATGTGATTTGAGTGAGATATGAACAACATACTATATACCGGGTGAATTTTGGCATCAGAAGTTCACTGCTTTCGATGTTTTTGATGTCTGGTCTTGATGCTTTCGAGCATTAATATGTAGATAGCCCTTGATCTCAGGGGTGTGGCAGAACTCACATTGTCTCAAACAGATATAATTTGAGTGAGATATTTGCAAAATACTATGTATATACTGACTACCGAGTGCTGAGTGCCGAGTTCTGAGTTCTGTGTTCCGAGTGCCAAGTGCCGAGTGCCGAGTTCCGAGTGCCGAGTGCCAAGTGCCGAGTGCCGAGTGCCCCGATGCTTTCGGGTATTAAACACCCAGATCGCCCTCACTCTCAAGGGCCCGTCAGAATTTAGATCATCTCAAACGGATGTGATTTGAGCGAGATATGAACAAAATACTATATACCGGGTGAATTTTGGCATCAGAAGTTCAATGCTTTCGATGTTTTTGATGTCGGGTCTCAATGCTTTTGGGTATTGACATGTAGATAGCCCTCGATCTCAGGGGTGTGGTAAAATTCAGATTGTCTGAAACAGATATAATTTGAGTGAGATATATGCAAAATCCCATATACTGACTACCAAGTGCTGAGTACCAAGTGCCGAGTGCCAAGTGCCAAGTGCCTTCCGAGTGCTGAGTGTCCCGATGCTTTCGGGCATTACCACCCAGATAGCCCTTGCTCTCAGGGGTCCATCAGAATTTTGATTATCTCAAACAGATGTGATTTGAGTGAGATAGGAGCAAAATACTATATATCAGGTGAATTTCAGCATTGGAAGTTCAATGCTTTCAATGATTTTGATGTCGGGCCTCAATGCTTTCAGGCATTGATATGCAGATAGCCTTCACTCTCAGGGGTCCTTCAGAATTTGGATCATATTTTCGCATCAGGAGTTTGATGCTTTCAATGATTTCAATGTGGGGCCTAGATGACTGTGTTCATTGACATGTGGATAGCCCTTAATGTCAGGAGTGTCACAGAATTCATATGGCCTCACATGAACATATGAGGTAATGTAGGACATTCTCAACACATCAGGAGACACATAAAAACACATCATAAGGCACTACATCATGTCTTCAATAGTCATACCTATGTGTAGTATGATAGTGTGATCTTTAATATACTGTTCAGGCTGACACTCATCAAGTATCACAGGTCTATTGTACAGACTTAGAATAAAATACAGTAGTCTTAACTTGATAGTCATTACACGATAGTCTTCACTTGATAGTCTAATATGATTGTTGATTACTACATAATACATAAGCTGTGAGGGTTTAGGATTATTATGGAAGATATGACAGTCATGGTTATTAAGAAAGCTTATATTATGCCTAGCAAGTTAAGACTATTGAGTTAAGACAATCATATCCTTAGTCTAGTAAGCACTGTCAAAGCTTGTGACCTTCTGGTAACCGTGTGGCAAAATCATATTTTGCTGATGTATATATCTTGTGATTGTAACTTTCTTGCACCAGTGCACAGTGATTGCCTTGAATTTCGAGTTTTTTTGTATTTAGAGATACATACCACTGACAGATACTGTTTCAGGGACTGGAACAGTACATTGGAAGCCAATCTATCATATTATACATAGGTGTGATCATAGCAAACCTGATGCAGTCCCTGATGATGTGTTTTTATGTTTCTCCTGATGTTTTAGAATTTTTCCCACACAAGGCTGACAACAAAAACATTGAACCTGCGAAGCTCAGACACACCCAATAAATTGTATTTTGCTCATATCTCCCTCAAATCATGTCTGTTTGAGGCAAAATATGATCCCCAACATCCCTTCAATAGTATATGCAATATATAAGAATACTAGGACAACAGGATTTATTCCTGTTGTGCTATGTGCTTACCCTTGGTGCAAGGCCTGACATCAAAAATCACCCGATATGTAATATTTTGCTCATATCTCACTCAAGTCTTATCCGTGTGAGACGATCTGAATTGTGACAGGCCCCTGAGATCAAGTTCTATCTGCTTGTGAATGCCTGAATGCATTGAGGCTAGACATTGCAAACATGGAAAGCATTGACCTTACAATGCTGAAATACACACAGTATATGGGATTTTGCTCATATCTCACTCAAATCTTATCCATTTGGGATGGGCTAAATTCTGCCAGACCCGTGAGATCTAGGGCTATCTGCATGTCAATGCCTGAAGGCATCGAGGCTTGATATCAATAACATCAAAAGCATCAAACTTCTGATGGTGAAATTCACTTGGTATATAGTATTTTGCTCATATCTCACTCAAATCACATCCGTTTAAGATGATCTAAATTCTGATGAGCCCCTGAGAGCGTGGGCTATCTGGGTGTTAATACCCGAAAGCATCGGGGCACTCGGCACTCGGAACTCGGCACTCGGAACTTGGCACTTGGCACTTGACACTTAGTGCTCAGCACTTGGTAGTCAGTATATTTTATTTTGCACCTTTCCCGAGTACATACCCTTAATTTCAGAATGAAGTCCAGATGAAATCCAATGAAGTCCGAAGGACTTCTGGAGACTGGCTACTCTGATGGAGTGCTGGAGGACTTCTGGATGAGCACAGGAACCTTCCGGAGGAGTATAGAAACTTCTAGAGAAGTACAGGAAACTCTGGAGGAGTTTTACCTGCTGCATAGGGTCCGAAGATAAGACTTCTGAAGGTAAGCTTCCTAGATGGAAGCACATGGAGGAGAGACTGCAAGGGACAGAGTCCAAAGCAGGATCAGATAGGAGGAGTGGTCCAGAGGACAGGACATCTGAAGGTTGCGCCATCTGAATGTTCAGATGTCCAAAGGTTAAGATGTCCAAAGGTTATGATGTCTGAAGGTCATGATGTCCAAAGGTTACAATGTCCAAAGGTTTTGATATCCGAAGTGTAAGATGTCCGGAGATCCAAAGGTCCGGAGATCCAAAGGTCTGGAGGTCAGCAGGAGTGGACAGGATTATAGGACAGGAGAATAAAGGCTACCATGGACAAGGTCTGGAGTAGAAGCAAACAGAGGTAGGCTACACTTAGGTGGAGTCGGAGATAACAGGAAGTAGACATAAGTCTTGGAAAGACAGGAAGTGCCAGAAAGGCAAAGGTCCAGCTTAAGGAATCAATCCTTAAGCTTGGATAGAGATGGAAGGACAAATCCAAAGGTTTGGAAGTCCAGCCTAAGGAATCCTTCAGGTTGGACTCGGATCTCAGTACACTTCACTTGATTTTTGATATCCGGGACTCCATAGTCGGAACTTGAGTCTTGAATCTCGGGGTGTCGGGTGTTGGGTGTCGGTTGTTGGTTGTCGGGTGTTGGGTGTCGGGTCTCAATGGTCGGGACTCAATATTTGGGACTCGTTGGTCGGGACTTGATACTCGATTGTTGGGATTCAATGGTCGGGCATTGGGTTTCAGGACTCAAATCTCGGGCTTTGGGACTCGGGTTTCAAGACTCGGTAGTCGGGACTCAATGGTCGATTGTCAGGATTTGATAGTCAGGGCTCGGATATGGTACACTTCACTTGATTTTCGGTAGTTGGAACTTGGCATTTGGCATTTGGTAGGCTTGGATGATGTTGGCTTTCAAAGATCTATTATCATATATTGCTCAATGAAATACCAGACGATCGGAAGTGTGCTGGACATCACATATTCATTTGTCGAGACCCGGGTCTCGGAACTCGGTACACTTCGCTCGAGTTTCCACTTCACCCCTTTGCAAGGCTCCATGCCATACTACATCATTAGATGACTTTGAATTATTACCTCCATGATATACAACTAGCTGAGCTCCATCATGTCTACAATTATCATTCTCCTGGGCCCACCCGTTTATATTATATACCCCTATGTCGGCCTACCCGTCTATGCAATATATGTCTACCATTGGCCCACCCGTATATAATAAATCTTTCACCGCTCCCTCGGCCCACTCGTCTACAAATAATACCAATACGTCGGCCCACCCGTCTACAAAATAATATTAATTCATCGGCCCACCCGTCTAATATGATATATATCTGGGCCCACCTGTCTATGTGATAACAAGCACCCTTGATATACCCGGCTATTTGATACATATCTACCTTGGTACACCCATCTACATAATATCCAACTACCTCGGCCGATCCATCTATTGAAAATTCATGTCCATCAGCCCACCCATCTACTTTACATATTCCCCACCTGGGCCAACCCGTCTCCATCGGGAATAATAAGACTCCTGGCCCATCCATCACAGTCGAGGATATATCTACCTTTGGCCCATGGTCCGCTGGCCCGTATCATACGGGATATTATGCACGTCCGTTCACTCGTATAATACGGAGATATGTTACTGCAATATGTGAGGCAGAGCTGAGACTCACTTATACTGGTTGAGCATTTTTAGATATTTCATATCAGCCCAGCCAGGTTGAGATCGCCTCACCATGCTGATCTTGAACACGATAACAAATGGTCCCGTGCGAAAATAGACCACGACTCTTCCATAAAATGGCCATGATCCAGTACACCTCACCGTCATTGTCCATCACCCAGCCTTGTGTTCCTTCCGGCATTTGATCTATACCCTCAGGAAGATCATTGTGAGAACCAGCGGAGCAGAGGTCAGTGCAAATGTGAATGGTAGGGTCGAACCCAAGGGAAGCTAGGTCTGATAGTGTGATTGTGTTTAAGACGTCGACAAAATGCATGGCATTGGCACCAATTGGGAGGGGTTGAGAGATAATCATTCCAGAGCGGTCCATATAATGAGCGCGGAGCTGGAGGTTTGCAATGCTGAACAAAACAATGAAACGGCACCACGGCTGTTCTTGCATTATAAGATATCCCTTGGTGGCGACCCCTAAGAATATAGGGATATCTTTTCCTTGAATCAATTCTGACTTGGTGATCTCGATATTGGTGAGAACATCCGCCCAGGTCTTTTCACCTGATTTATTCTTTTTCAGCCTGTAGTCCATGAGGACTAAATCAGGCTTGCGCGAGTCGGTGGTGTCTGGAACAGGGTGTGGTGGCAAATTCAGAGGACCAGTATCATGGTTCTGGGACGACATTGAAGGGAAGGGGGTTCGGTGAGTCTTGTTGGGAGGACTCGTCATTGGCCTCGCGGATGATGTTGCGCATAGCATAGTATATGCTCCGCAAGAGGTGCTCCCAGCTTTTTCTTCTGATATCTTGACGGGATGGTTTGATCTCTTTTGTCCAGCATCGAACGATTGCTGTGACCAGCTGGCATCTGTGTCCATCATAGAATCTTCATTCATCTCCTCCAGGTCTGTGTCTGTCTCATCATTCCCCAACTCCTGCCGCCGCCTTAACTTCTTCACAGGACCTGAAAAGGCACCATCAAGCCTCCACTTTAGACCAGACCGCAGTTTCTGTAATAAAGATGCTCCCTGTAAGAGTGCTTGACCTTTTTTTTTATGTATTTGATGCCCAAGATATCTTTGGTTGTGAGGTCTGATCCCGGAATAAGGATATCCAGGATGGATGATTTCCTGCCTTTTATCCCCTCCTCCCATAAGACTCGTCTGCCTGCTGTGAGTGCGCCATCCCTACCCATAGGTAAGAGTTTGTTTTTCATCAATAAATCCATATCTTCCTTCATCCGAGGTAAAAAAATCGCCACCAGCAGGGATGGAGCTGGTAACTGTCGCCAGCAGATAGTGATTGGTGAAAGACTGTGTCATTGACATGTTTTACACAGCAATGTTGTGCTCAGACCTTGCACAATGCAACAATGCACAATGATTCACGCTCATTTGTGCGATAGGGCTTCTAAATTTGTCCCTTAATGGAGCAAAAATATTCTCGAACCAACCGAATGATTCAGTTCAACAAGTAAATATTGTAAGTACTAATACTATTATCATGAAGCATAGTGAATGGCATCGTAGATCTCTTTATCAAAGTATTTATTCAAAAAAAACAAGTGGGAGTAATGCGAAGACGTTGCTTTCGTTGTCCTGCATGATTTGGGAATCATGCATGGACATGACTACTAGGTATCCCCCTAAAAGACAAAGTCTGTTAGCTTAGTCCTCAGACTAGTCAACCCATACCTTGGTATCAAACCTTGGTCCAATAGTTTCAGTTTTCCCTCAGTGATTCATGAATCCACCATGTTTTGAAGAAAAGTCATATGTGAGATGGGAATCACATAATGACCTAGTTGATATGAGAAGCAAAATGAAGGTTAATGTATTGCCTTTCATTTGGCTTATTCACTTTGGCTAGAGAAACCCATAGAGAAAAGTTCAAAGCCTAACAAAAACCTATCTAAAAAGCCCGCGTATTGTGTACTATTATTTGTTCCATTATTTCTGAGTTGTTTTCTCTAGTGTTTCTTTACTTTACTTTTCTATTAGGATGCTCTGACTAATCAGATGCTTCATAAAATTGTACCTACAGGGTATGATGTCATAATGATGTCATAGGACTTCACCTACACTCCTGCAGGTATTTTGGTTGAAAGATATGATATCATAGTGATGTCATAATGATGTCATGTTCCATGGAATTTGCTAGAACATTCCAATGACTCATAATGACTCATAGTGACTCAGAATGATGTCATTATCCCACCATGAATATTCTGGAATGTTCTTTTGCACCTGCTAGAACATTCTGCTCCAGTTTTTGGAATATTCTTCTCACATTCTGAAGTCATTACATCACCTTTTTACTTACATAATATTCCCACACAAAATGTATATAAGGAGAGCCCATTCTCCCCCAAAAAATAGATCTCCCACTTGTTGCATTCAAGAACTCCCACTTGAGCAAATTGAACTCTCACCTAAGAAGCTTCAGTCTGAACAAATTGCTGCTTACAAAGCCCATTTCCTTTGTAAGAACTGTCCAGACAAGTGCAGGGAAAGTGTTTCCCTTGAGATTACGTAAATTTCTCGCGATAGAAACCCAGTTTTGTGAGACCAGTGTTCTCACCACGTAGTGTTTACTGACCAACACGAGCTTTGGTCAACGTTGTTATTTGTGAGACCAGCGTTCTCACCAGGTATTTGTATACTGACCAACACGAGCTTTGGTCATTGTTGTTATTTGTCATTGTTGTTATTTGTCATTGTTTTTTTTTATTTGTCATTGTTGTTATTTGTGAGACCAGCGTTCTCACCAGGTATTTGTATATTGACCAACACGAGCTTTGGTCCACGTAGTCACATTTGAGACCAGCTTCTCAACAGTTAACCATATATTCAGGAAACCAGTTCAAGTGTCTAGACGGTATATCCTAGACAATCCCATAGTTTCAATCAGAGATTATAAAGCTCCGGCTAAGTTAATCTGACTGATTGGTTTAGCGAGCCTCCCAAGAACTCACACGTTATCTACCATGAAAGAAGAAAAGTTGTAGACCGTGTTAATCGAGGACTGGCAAGAAGTCTTATCCAGTGTAATTGTGGTGTCATTACATTCTTACACGTTTTCATATAAGACCCTCGGTTATTAAGACAACGGGCCCCTGAGAGCGAGGGCTATCTGGGTGTTAATGCCCGAAAGCATCGGGGTACTCAGCACTCAGGAACTCGGCACTCGGAACTCGGTTCTCGGCACTTGGCACTCGGAACTCAGAACTCAGAACTCGGCACTCAGCACTCGGTAGTCAGTATATACATAGTATTTTGCAAATATCTCACTCAAATTATATCTGTTTGAGACAATGTGAATTCTGCCACACCCCTGAGATCGAGGGCTATCTACATGTCAATGCCCGAAAGCATTGAGACCCGACATCAAAAACATCGAAAGCATCAAACTTCCAATGCTGACATTCACCCGGTATATAGTATTTTGCTCATATCTCACTCAAATCACATCTGTTTGAGATGATCTAAATTCTGATGGGCCCCTGTGAGCAAGGGCTATCTGGGCGTTAATACCCGAAAGCATCGGGGCACTCGGCACTCGGAACTCGGCACTCGGAACTCGGAACTCAGCACTCGGCACTCAGCACTTGGGACTCGGCACTCAGCACTTGGGACTCATTAAATCACATCTGTTTGAGATGATCTAAATTCTGATGGGCCCCTGAGAGCGAGGGCTATCTGGGTGTGAATACCCGAAAGCATCAGGGCACTCGGCACTCAGAACTCGGAACTCGGAACTCGGCACTTGGCACTCAGAACTCGGCACTCAGCACTCGGTAGTCAGTATATACATAGTATTTTGCAAATATCTCACTCAAATTATATCCATTTGAGACAATGTGAATTCTGCCACACCCCTGAGATCATCGGGGCACTCAGCACTTGGAACTCGGAACTCAGCACTCGGCACTCAGCACTTGGGACTCATTAAATCACATCTGTTTGAGATGATCTAAATTCTGATGGGCCCCTGAGAGCATGGGCTATCTGGGTGTTAATGCCCGAAAGCATCAGGGCACTCTGCACTTGGCATTCAGCACTTGGTACTCAGCACTCAGTAGTCAATATATAGTATTTGCATATATCTCACTTGAAATTCACCCTGTATATAGTATTTTGCTCATATCTCACTCAAATCACATCTGTTTGAGATGATCTAAATTCTGACGGGCCTCTGAGAGCGAGGGCTATCTGGGTGTTAATACCCGAAAGCATTGGGGCACTCGGCACTCGGAACTCGGTTCTCGGCACTTGGCACTTGGTACTCAGCACTTGGTAGTCAGTGTGTAGTATTTTGCATATATCTCACTCAAATTATATCCGTTGGAGACAATGTGAATTCTGCCACACCCCTGAGATCAAGGGCTATCTACATGTTAATGCCCGAAAGCATCAGAACCCGACATCAAAAACATCGAAAGCATCAAACTTCTGATGCCAAATTCACCCGGTATATAGTATTTTGTTCATATCTCACTCAAATCACATCCGTTTGAGATGATCTAAATTCTGACAGGCCCCTGAGAGCGAGGGCTATCTTGGTGTTAATACTCGAAAGCATCGGGGCACTTGGCACTTGGCACTCGGCACTCGGCACTCGGCACTCAGCACTCAGCACACGGCAGAAAGCTTGATTGCAACACTGAAGGCACTGAGGTGGATGAGGGAACACCTCCTGACAGTAATTGAATGCCCGAACGCATCAGGGCACTCAGCACTCGGCACTCGGAACTCAGAACTCAGCACTTGGCACTCAACACTTGGCACTCATTCACCCTGTATCTTGGATTGTGCATATATCTCACTCAAATCATATCTATTTAAGACTATCTAAATTCTGATGAATCCCTGAGATCTAGGGCTATCTGCATGTCAATGCCCGAAAGCATCGAGAGCCGACATCAAACACATTGAAAGCATCGAACTTCTGATGCCAAAATTCAACTGGTATATAGTATTTTGCTCATATCTCACTCAAATCACATCTGTTTGAGATGATCTACATGCTGACAGGCACCTGAGAGCGTGGGCTATCTGGGTGTTAATGCCTGAAAGTATTGAGGCACTTGGCACTTGGCACTCAGAACTCAGAACTCGGCACTCGGCACTCGGAACTCGGCACTTGGCACTTGGAACTCGGCACTCGGCACTTGGTACTCAGCACTTGGTAGTCAGTGTGTGGTATTTTGCATATATCTCACTCAAATTATATCTGTTTCAGACAATCTACATTTTGCCACACCCCTGAGATCGAGGGCTATCTACATGTCAATGCCCGAATGCATCGAGACCCGACATCAAAAACATCGAAAGCATCAAACTTCCAATGCTGAAATTCACCCGGTATATAGTATTTTGCTCATATCTCACCCAAATCACATCCGTTTGAGGTGATCTAAATTCTGATGACCCCCTGAGAGCGAGGGCTATCTGTGTTTTAATACCCGGAAGCATCAGGGCACTCGGCACTCGGAACTCGGCACTTGGCACTTGGCACTTGGCACTTGGCACTTGGCACTTGGCACTCAGCACTCGGTACTTGGTACTTGGTAGTCAGTACTCGGTGATTCGAGTCTCGAGACTTGAGACTGGTGATTCACAAGTCAAAATTTGAAACTAATGTGTAGTATCTTATGTATTTCTGTACTCATTTCACTGACTACCGAGTGCCGAATCTCGGGTCTTGGGTATCAGGTCTCGGTACTCGGTACTCGGTATTTCCAGATGACAAAAATGTATATCATCTTAAATTTGAATTTTCTTAACTCATAACAATGTATGAGTTTCCAGTTGAGTTTTGAATTTTGAGTTTTGAGTCCCTTGAGTCCTGAGTCTGGGTGTTCAGGTTTCAGGTTTTGGGTTTTGGGTTTTAGTACTTGGTACTTGATATTACCCGATGTCGGCCCACCCGTCTATGTAAAATTCTGCACTTCAGCCCACCTGTCTTTCTAATATGACCCCACGTCGGCCGACTATGTAATAAATAATTCACTTCACCCTCGGCCCACCCGTCTATCTAATATTACCCCACATCGGCCAACCCATCTATGTAATAAATAATTCACCCCACCCTTGGCTCACCCATCTATCTAATATTTCCCTACGTTGGCCCACCCGTCTATCTAATAAATATTTCACGGCTCCCTCGGCCCATCCATCTACAAAATAATACTGATACGTCGGCCCACCCGTCTATATAATACTATTTGCTATACATCTCTCCTCAGGTCTATAATATATGTCAATCCTACTCTACATATTACCCACATGGGCCCACCCATCTCCATAATAATATTTCTCCCGGCCCATCTGCTATCATTGATGATATATATAACATCAGCATAGATGGGCCCACCCGTCTCCATCGGAAATAATATTCCTCCCGGCCCACCCGTCAACATCGGGTATATACATAACATCGGCCCATAATCCGCTGGCCCGTATTACACGGGATATTATGTAGGTCGGGTGACCCGTATAATACAGGATTTGTCACTGAAGGGGCTCCTGGAGGAAAGATTGCATTAGGGACAACTTACAGAAGTATACGCTCATTCCATTCCATGACAGCTTGGTCTATGTGTACAAGCAGGTTGCTAGTCTGCCATTCAGCGCCATCAGCTGTTACTGTTACATGGAAGCCAGCAGGGATCCGTCGGACACCAAGAGTGAGACCAGTTGTGTGAATGGCTTGTAGGAGATGGTCAATTCATGCTGGACAGAGATACATTTCACATACAAATAATGGCAATGTGTTGTATTCCACTGAGTGTCTCCCCCAGGTCCCTGGGGAGTTCTGGGTGGCTTGGCTCTGCGATCAAGGGCGGGAGGATAACATCAAGTGTACCGGGCACGGAACTAGTCGCAAAACGAAACAGCATAGCAATGACGAGATAAAGCGTTGCCAGCATGGCTTCAGGAAAATTTGTCAGTACATGTTGAAGGAAGAAAGATGGTATATACTCATGATGACAACTTGTACCATTTCACTGATCACGAGGTTTGTCCCTCCCGGGTCCTGGGGGTGTTCTGGATTTCTCGACTCCTCCCCCAAGGGTGAAGGGCAATCGTCAAGAAGATCAGGTACGAAGTTTGACATCTGGTGGAAGGATGGATACAAGCCAACACTCGAGAGCAAGATATGTGCTGGAGGTAAGAAATATTGTAGTGTCTGGAAAGTCCTGATGGACTATAAAGGAGACAACCACAGCATACATGTGGCACTCACATCATGCTGCAATGCACAGCGCTGATGTCCTGGAGTTCATGGGCATGAGATTTGTACAGAAGGGGCACGTAGGGTGCAAGATTGATCGAAGCAGCCGAAACGAGTAAGTTGTGAGGCTCAAGAAACACAGGAAATTCCAATGCCTGAATGTCACCACCCTCAGGATCTTCTTTTCACTGATGAGTCAGACAGTGTGATATGCAAGAAGTTACTGAAATGAAATGAACTCACTGTCTGCTGTGCACAAGATCCGAAACCACCCCTAGACTAACAAGGTCGCCGCTGCTCTGGCCCGAGAACCCTTGGGCTAGACAATGCGCACCATAGGCATGCCAGTGCGGTAGCCTATCATCGAGATGTTCGGATTCGTGTCCTTGGCACGTCAACTTAGGACCTCCCAACTGTAAAGATTTACTTTGGTTTGCATCCTAAGTTGCAGCTTTTTGTGCTCCCCAGCTTTGTCACCATGTCGAATCCTCTGGATGACGGTCAAGGTGCCATTCAATCGATTTAAACAACGACATTCAATGCCAAGGGTAAATGTCGTAAACTAGGTTTCAGAGCAACTTGAAACTCGCACGGTAGTTTCTTAGCGCTCGCCGACTCAGATAATTCCTCACTGGCAGACCACTGAGACCAGGCTACGGTCGCTCAGGCTAGAGCGCGCGGTGTACATATGCACCTCGTCGCAGTGGCGGCGTCAACCTGAGCTGTTGTGTACACTCATGTCTGGTTCTACAGGGCACTGAGTCCGACCCTGTTGCCTAAACTCTATCCGAGTCGTCGTCGATCCTAGTACCACAAGCTCTCTCAGGCTCCCTACTCGATGCAAACATTCCGTCCCTTCCCTTACTTTTGACGCCATACTGATTAGTTCACTAGTTCACTGATTCACCCGTCACATTTTCGCGGACTCACCTAGTGCGGGACATCGTCGAGTACCAATGCAATTTCGTCTCTATCATATTAGAAAGAAGTTCAAAGAATGACTGAAATCTTCATTCTAATGGTCTGGTTATATGAATCTGATACATTTAGCCTTTATTCTTCATCTCTTTGTCACTACCTCAGACATTCCTCTTTCACTCTTGTGTGCTATTTGACATGACATGCATCTCGTCTCGTTTCAGCAGAATCGCACTCACAGTTAGATTACACTGGCAAGAGCAAGACCGACGCTCGTTAGTATCTCCCGATCCCTATTGCAACCCGCACTGAATCACATTTAACGCAGTCCCAAGTACACTATCTCGTGGAACCTTCTCATTGTCCCTTAGGACTCTCTTAGTTCTGGCTGTGCACTTCATAGCAGCTCTGCAGTATTCCGATCCCAGAGTTGCACCATCGCAATCATGTCTTTTGACGTCCTTTTGCTCCCCTTCAAGTCAGTGCTCCCGTTTGCGTCCTTTGCATTCCTCGTTTAACTTTTTGCATCTCACTACGGTAACATTCCAGTTGTGGAGCAGTGTCGAGCAACCTTGCAGGCGTGTCTCCGACCCACGTCCTCACCAACAGTCTTATCTACAGATTCCAGCAGCGGGGTGTCCTACCTGACATAGTTAAGGTCGTCGATCTCTATCGAACTGTACTAGCATTTCGCTCCCCTGGCCGCCCCCCATCGATTTTTGTCTCTCTCAACAACCTTTCTGGCAGCCTTACAGCGAGATTCGAGTGGCAGGCAGTGCTATCTGACCTGGACGAGCTTATCGAGCTGTGCTGGCTATCATTCCCCCTGGCCATCTGGTCGACTTGCTTTTCTTGAAAAACTTGCGGTCAATGCGGGACGGTCCTTTCACCACCACGGACATTGCCCCGATCCCACTTGCAGAATCCGGAGTTTGCATTCTTATCGGCTTGCCACACTACTGTGGGCGATAAATCAAGCCCAGATGAGGCGATCTGTCCTGCTGCAGCGATACAATTTCTGGATTTCTCAGTGTAGTAGGTTCGATGTGGTCTGTTGATGATGAAGTTGCCCGCCAGGTCGTGCTTTTACGATAACCTGGTTGATGGCTCCAGGCGATTGGCCCCACTGGCAGTGGATTTACCAATTCGATGTCTACCACACTGCCGCCTTACTGAGAGCAGATTATTGTCCAGGAATGTGTCTGCCTGTCTATGTCCACTCATGTCCACCACACCGGCGTGATTGAAATATGGTAAATGATTGTCAGAGCGGGTATGAGCCTGCCTGCATGCGCAAGCTTGCACGCAACCAACTGAGATAGAAGACAAGGCTGCATGAGTATATGAACCGGCGAAATGACCGATTAGCGCTACGCTGCCTCGAGGAATTCATCATGCCATACCGTGATACCTATATACACTACTTTCGTGCAGCTCTCCCCGACACTAGTGTTGTGGGCAGAACTATTTGCAGGCAGTTCTGCCAGTAGAATTGGCAGAACACGGCAGAACTAGGGTTGTGCCATGGCAAAACCAGGCAAAACTCAGAAGAGGTAAATTATCCATCGACTACAAAAAACTATATGTTGGTCGACATTAATGATGCGACATCCCAACCACCCTCCTCAAGGCCTCACCTCTCGCACCATGATGATCAATCACTGAGAGCTCCTCATCTCAATAGACTTTGGCACCAGCCTCAACTCACTTCAGCTCGTTGAAGTTATACATATTACCTTCCAATATCTCGAGTCCGTTGATATCAATATCAGTCAATTTCTCATTCTGCTTCTAGAGTGCATCAATCTCTGCATCAATTTCATCAACTTTGGACTGTGAGTTGTGGCTCGAATGCAATTGTGTTTTCGAGGCAATGTGCCGTATCAAGGTTGACGTTCTCGGATACGCCAGGCTCGTCTTGAGCATGCATGTGTGCGTGACGGCGACGAACAGCCTTCCCGCTAGCGAGTGTCTTCCGATATCATGATAGTTGTGAAAGGCTAAAGCAAAGGTTTGCACGGATTTTTGCGATTGTTTCAAAGGTTGCAATTGAAAAATTGTAGTGCGTCAGTGCAGCGTCACTGATTGAGTGCTGCCCATGTCCGAGAACAGCCGCTCGACATCACCTGCATGCTCCAGACTTATAAGCTAGCTTAGCCATAGACAAACACCTATTTCTAATGTTCATTTATTGGGCAGATACAATTAGGATTTGCTTTGACGACTTAGATAGTAAATACAGTTTATCATAGATTCATCTACCGATTCTCACGCATGCTCCAGTACCTCTTTAAGTTCTGCCAAGTTCTGCCACGGCGAATGGCAGAACGGCAGTAATCTGCCAACAACACTACCTGACACTCTTGGACACCGTGGGCATTGATTAATATTGATTCCCTGGAAAGGGCCCGTTATCAATTTGGTACAAGATTCGTAACGTACATCGTTACATGTCGTCATTCTACTCGACGAGTCTCGTGGAGCTTTGTCGGTTCGTGCACCATCCTTTGCCAAAACTTTCAATTCTTGTGCTCGCGAATGCCGCCACACTTGATAGTTGACACCACTCTTGCTCCTTCGCACTGTCAGCACTTCAAGTTCAGGGCCGTGCGGCATGAGCACCAGATTCCCCAATGCGGCACTCAAGGCCAGCTGCCTCTCCATCCTCGTTCTCTCCACCCGGTTTCACCATTACTCATTCTCTCGTTCCACCATACAGTGTCGCATGCGAGTGGCTGGGATACACGGATTATATACCGCTCGGTGGTGGCCGCAACATTAAGCTGAAACGAACACGATGAGTAGAATCTGGGGTCTTTTGAATGCCGTGAGGGTATCCAGAGTTCACTCAGGGTTGTTCGAAGGAACGGAATAGGTTCCGAATGATGACAGGCTCCTAGTAACGCTCCGTTATGGATCATAATTCATTCTCAGACTCTCAGAACTATATATCCTAGTACAATTCGACCGCCGTCCTCTGAAAGCCACATAAACACATCCTACCATGCTCGACGATGGACCTAGACTTTACTTGGCCACATCGGCTTTGGCGCTGGCTATCTTTAGTTGTTATCGAAACTATTGGAACAAGCAGTCGGGTCCCCCACTCCCTCCTGGTCCTAGGCCCCTCCCAATAGTGGGGAATGTTCTAAGTCTTGATGCCGCTCAGCCTTGGCTGACTTTCAATGCCTGGAAGTCCACATATGGTTAACACTTCGTGATGAGGTTCTGGTCATGATAGATAAGTACTCATGTTTTTCTACAGGTGACATCATTTATACTCGTCTGCTTAACAAGCCTGTGATCGTGATTAACTCTGAGGAGGTTGCAAAGGACCTCTTTGAAGAGCGTTCCATCATATATTCAGATAAACCCCAGTCCTTTGTTTACCCACAGTGAGTCAGCATGTTAGAGTATTGCTCCACATCGATGACGAAGATGTTGTCAGCTTTGCTTCGGACTTCAACCCAGCGTTTTTGCCATATGGAGACAGGTAATGGATTGTTCTCTGTTGTGTTGATCAGTGTCTGAAATCCAGCAGGTGGCGCCTTCACCGACGAATTTATCATCGGGCATTTCGTCAAGCTGAAATACCTACTTACCATGCTGTGCAACTGCGTTCCGCCCACAAAATGTTGTTCAGTTTTCTACAGGATCCTAGCGACTATTCAAGACATTTTGAGATGTTGGTTGCAACGGCTTGTTCTGGTTCCTGCTGAGGCTGATTTTCATCAGGTTTAGCGTTTCCTTTATACTGCCTATAACATATGATTATGAACCGAAAGCCAAGGATGATCCCATCGCCCACATCATGGAAAGGTACTTGGATCGGGTAAACGCAATTTTGACGCCAGGTGTTACTGTGATACTCGAAACATTCCCTTTCCGTATGTCCGCACATGTAATAATGGCCTGTCATTGCCTCATTGGTCATTTTAGTTTTGAAGCTACCCAGCTGGTTTCCTGGTGCCACATTCAAGCGAGCGTCACTAGAGTGTCTCAAGGCAGGCCATGATATAAAGGAGATACCCTTTCAAATGGTCGAAGAGAGAATGGTGAACCATCCCATCCATAGAGCTACAATAAACTGACGAACTGCACATAGTCTACCGGCATCACGGCGCCTTGCTTCGTGGCTGATACCTTGAGCAGGATGAGGCTTTCTGAAGAGGACGACGCTGTCATTACAGCTGCAGTCAAGGAGACTGCTTGTATGACATTCGCAGGTATCCAAGCCACAGAAATTTGTCCCCTTGACGCTTATTATTGTTTTTGTGTCTTCAGGGGCATTTGAGACGGTATGTATCTCCCTTGTCTGCATTTGCCGTGGTAATCATCTTGCTCTCGGCCCAGACTACTTCCACGTTACTTATGTTCATTCTTGCTATGGTACTCAATCCAGAGGTACAGGCCAAAGCGCAAGCAGAGATTGATCGAATCGTTGGCAAAGATAGACTCCCCGGTTTCAATGATAGACCATCGTTGCCTTACGTTGACGCTATTTTGCGTGAAACACTGAGATGGCACCCCGTGGTTCCGTTTGGTCCGTTCCACCATTACTCTTATTACCTTCCTCTGATAATGTATTTAGGCGTCCCGCGCACAACAACAACCAGCGACATCTACAAAGGCTACTTCATCCCTAAAGGTTTGTAAATGTACCATGCTGATTGTCCAATGGCTGCTGATGACCCAGTTTGTCAGGGGTTGTTTTATTTGCAAATACATGGGAAGCTCTCACTTCCTTGATACTGAATGTCTCAAAATGACCAAACCTTCAGGGCAATGACACACGATGAAAAGAAGTACCCCAGTCCTGATGAATTCAAACCGGAAAGGTTTCTTCATGAATATGGGTCGCTCACCAGCGACACGATGCCTTTAGGCTTTGGCTGGGGTCGCCGGAGCTGGTGAGCATACATTCATGCAGCTTCTTCGCTCCCTGTTGAAAACCGCTGGTCAGTGTGGGACGGTATGTCGCGGATGCGGCACTCTGGATCGCGATCACGAGCTTCCTCGCCATGTTCTCAGCCCACAAGGCCCTTGATGAACACGGCATGGACATCCCAGTCGTTCCGAAGTTCTCTCCGGGTCTCATTATGTTTGCAGAATCTCATTTATCCCCGAGGGTAGTCCGCTGATCTCTCTTTTTTCAGTCATCCGGAGAAATTTCCCTGCCGCATTGTCCCGCGATTCCCCGATACATCTGTGGAGACACTGACACACTTGACCGGATTAGATCCGTGTGTCAACATCGCCTGAACATTTCAGCGACAGGGCAATCGTAACTGTGGTGTAAATGTATAGTATACATATGGTTTTCTGTATCTGCAATATACCATTCGAGCATAGCGCAGAAATAACAAACAAGCCATGACCATTGACAACTAGAAGTCCTGGGCTCAGTCAGATTCTGAAGCGCATCCGAACTCGATATCACAACCACGGCCCCCACACAGACGGTGACACAACAACCTGCTCAAGAAAATGGCTATGGCTATGGTTGTTGGGGCGACTTTTGCCTTGCCCTCTGGTGCATCTCCCGTTGTCCTCTCCGCATTGTTTCCTCCACACAGCCTGTCGCCTCGTGATATCAACTTGGCAAGTGCTTTTTGTTGTTCTATATCTCAACCTCTTTTCAACGACTCTGCTTTGCTACCGCTTGTTTCTCATAGTTTTATTGCCAGTGTGTATTAAGTCTTCCTATATGCCCTCCCGTTTTCGTGCTACCCTCGAATCTGCATGCGGCTGATGCTCCGCTCAGTAGCTTATACATAAGTATGACTCTATATTCCAAGGTATCAAGTATACCCATCTTCACCTTCCAGGTATGTTGTCCACCCTGCAGGGGACAAACAGGACGCTCGTGACTTTACACTGGCGTTCGAGATAGCATGCCACTCAAACAGATACTCACGGCAAGCGCACGACGAGCCAAAATTGATGGATATGACAGACAGCGGACTGACTTCGGCTTCACCAGGGTTGGCACAGCGTTAACTTGAATGATCATCATCAGACATGCAGCAACTTGAGTACCCCCATGAACATCTTCATGCATGAATAAAATCCTTGTGCAGCACCAAAATAACGTTGGCACTTGCTGGGTAGAATACAACGAAATGAGTATAAGCGAAGCTGGCATCGTCGTGTGGATATTATCTAATTATTAGCACTTCCATAAGATGTACAGATCAAAGGCGAGACCTAGGGAGATATTATCACGAATACAGGGCAGCCAGCTGTTCCCTGTGCCACGACCCGTCATGAGCAACGCGACTCAAAACCAGCTGCAAGGCATTATTGGATATCATCAGTGTGTTGCCCTGGGCATACATCACCGCCACAGGTCGCATGTATGAATTCATTGGAATAGAGACTAGAGTATGTTGCATTGTGGAACAAACCATACATTGACACCATCAATGAGGTTGATGAGAGGGTGGCGCGAAGGTCGAACTCCTGAGCCGGAGTTGTGATATCTCCGAGGACGTGGGTCGATATGGAACTCAAATTTTCCTATAAAATATTGGACGGAATGCAATTGTCAGCTGGAGGCAAACCTGAGATCTAGTAAAAGGCCTGTATCCGACCTGCTCCGTGAGTGCAAGTAGTCGCGGGAATGCAATGCTGCAGAGTGACACACTTCCGGCGGAAAGCCTGCTGGCAGCGGCACCGATATGATTCTGGACTCCCGTAAGACCGCAAGTCACAACACTGAAATGAACCCTGATCCCTGATGTGTGTGGCAGACGCTCTACTATCTCGCTGACAACATGCTCAGTACCTGCCTAGTACTGCGATGATTTCTTGGTCTTTAACAAAGAAATCACACCATCACTATCAGGGCAATAAGAATCAAGGTCATCGCAAGTAACAGACACAAGAAGGGAACCCACACAATCCATTCTCGCAGAGAATGTCGTGATCCCTTCGAGAGTTGCATTGTTCTCGATGAGCGCCTCATGGACAAAAACAGCCCAAAACCGAGTGGCGATCAATATCACTAACACGTTTCGAAGGGGCGCTGCCGAGAAAGTCCACAAGACTAAAATTTGTCTTCCCTTTCATACTCCTTCAAATTCCAGTATCCCCTGCGGCTGTCCTCAGTCATTCCGCATATTTCCTGATGATTACACCCGTATTCTCTGCAGCACATGTTTCTCGATGGGAAAACGTCAGCGACGACAACCGTCGTCCGCGTCGTAAACGAACACGACTATCAGATGGAGAGGAACAAACAGAGACAGACGTGGACGTGGATGTTGATTACGAACCTTCACCAGCACCTGCGCCGAGTGAAGCCTTTGCCTGCCCATGTGCATGGTCATCGTCAACAGTTCCGACGGAGAACTCCCTGCACAATGCCTACACAAACATCCCACAAAAGAAAGTTCGCACGGTCAGTACATACCGACGGGTCGCAGTCTTAGACGTGGCTTGCAACCTTCTTATATACCACCACGTACACCCAGATTCTGCAAGGATGGCAGTAAAAACGCATACTTGGGTTACCCTTTGGTTTATTCTCACCGCGCCTGTCATCTTCTGGGATGTGGGATACTGTTTCATGCGGTATGTATCCTTGCCCTTGTCTCATGCTGTCGAATTAACGTAATTACGCAAGTCCACGATCCATGCTTGGGGGAGACCTCCACTGGATCTGGAAACCGTATGAAATATACCAGAATGTTCGATTTTGTGAGTGCACTTCCCTGACAATCACGTCTTGTAATCGACGGCCTTCACTAGGTTTATGGCTATCAAAGCTCTAGAGGAGAATGATGGGTTCACAAACGCACAATGTTCGTGCCTCTCGTGCTCAATTCCTCTGACTGACTAACTTCCCCCTTTTAGCTTTCCTCAATGTCGTAGAGACACTCATGAATCTCGCATACGTGTACTTGGCACACGTCTCGGGCTGGTCTCCTGCTCCCCTCATTGGGTTTGCAGCAGTGACCATGACGTTGTCTAAAACAGTTTTATACTGGTTACAGGAGTACTACTGCGGCTTCTGTGCCATCGGACACAACACTATGTCCGATCTGATCGTATACTGGATCATACCCAATGGGTACGCGTTCGTTTTTCATTGGTTTGACACGTCATAACTGTTCTTTTCGATGTAGATTATGGATCGTCATCCCTAGCTTGATCATCGTGAGACTAGGAAAGGATCTCGCTGCCTCACTCCATGTCGCGGAGCGCGCTGCGACCAAGACTGCTTCTGGAAAGCAGAAATGATGGATTCCCCAGACTACCGAATGAGACGAAATGGTTTATTTACAGTTATAACCTATCGGTTTATGTACGCCTGATTGTTGTATCTATTGCTCTGGAATGGACTTGGCTTATTATTTTGCTGTGATTCAGTCCGGAGCTAGTGGCGTGAGTTGTCCTGCTAGGCGATCCCTGCTTGTCGATCAGGAGGATTTATCCTTCTGACGATGATAGTACTGTATCCTTTTGGATGGGGAATATTCTCTCCGCAGCACCCAGTCTCGGCCTTGTCGTATTGCTCCCGATCACCCGTGCATTATTAACATGACGACAGACGTACGCAGTATGATATCATACATATGGGTCAAACCACCGCGCTAGCTCCAAGTTGCTTATGCTATTTGCGTGAGCGAAATTCGCATCCTCAGTGGTGAGACGAGATACGATCAAACTGATTCCACACGGAATCACCAACGTACATGAAGATCCTTCGCTGACTTGGGCTTCTCCCCGAGGACGAAAGAAACTTACAGGATCGTGCATGTAAAAGATAATGATATTCCACGATTCATTCCACGTTGTGTTACATCCAATAATTATCATACATACACCAAAGAAATAAAAAGTCCGGGAGATACCTCACTAATATGTCACAAAACAGAAACGAAAAGATCGCGTGGCGCAGTCTCAGAAATATGACGTCAACGACACAACAGGCAACAGGTAACAGGAAAGACGAAACAGCCCAATGCTAAAAAGGTGAGCGTGAGGTATGCAGTGGATTCAATAGGTACACGATGAGTCGACGTCTGTTGTCGTGAGAAACGAGGAGAAGAGATTGGAATATTTCGTTTGTGTTTTGTTTTGCTTTACTTGATGCACTTGGTCGATCGATGGCTTGCATTCCTGCGAGCCCTACCAGGAGGGATTTAATCCATCTCCATGTCCATTTCCATACCGTCCCATTGTTCTTCAGACTTGCTCTTCACCGTGCCAGGGCCAATGCCCTCCTCCTCAACCTCCTCAGGCACGCTGAACGACACCACGCCATCCTCTTCTTCGGATTTCCACCTAAACCGCGTGCTGCTCACCCGCCCGTGAATGTGCATGTTCGCAGATGTGATATCATCAACTTCGACGAGCTCGCCGTCGTCGCTTGAATGAGAAGAAACAGACATCGAACGCACAGACGAGCGCGGGAGGGACCATCCCGAACGCGAGAAGGACGCAGAGGCAGAGGGGAATGACGAAACACCGTAAAACGAGGATGAGGTCGGCGAGCCCCATGACTCTGAGTGCACGCTAACAGAGCCAAGAGCCAGCAGGTTCCTTGCGTCGGCATCTGTAGGAGCGGCGGGAACCGGTACTGGGGAGCTCGGCGTGCGAGAGTTCGGGGCGGTAGGTACGCCCAGGAGGCCTGGACGCAGCTGGGTGATACCACCTGGGCCGGTGGCTTGGGGAATAGAGTAGTCATGTAGACGCGGTCCGGTTGATCCCGCGCGGCCCGAGCTGCTGATAACGGACGCTGCCGGAACAGAGCTGGATATCGGTTTCGAAGGAGACAAAGTGCCAGATCCTTCGTTTGCGCTCCCGGGAGCGGGAGGCGGGACTATGCCACCAGAGAGAAAGGTAGGCCAAAGGGAGCGATCTTCGGGAAGTGATGTCCCGTTCGTAGATGAGGGTGAAAGATGCGACAATATGGCGGCGGCCTAGGAAATTTTCATTAGCACCTTTGTCAGCTGTTAAGCCAGGGGTAATGACCTCCAACAATTGGACTTGCTGATGTTTGCTAAGCACAAACTTGGAGGCTTCGCGCCACTGGGGAGTGTGTTCCCAACGATGTTTAATGAGACAAGAAGGATGCCGGTAGACCTGAAGGCTCATGGTCACTTTCCACTCGAATAGTTCAAGGCACGAAAGAAGCTACCTTCGAGCAGCTCTCGCACGTGAATATCGTGCCGCGCTTCTTTCCGCTCTTCGCGTTCGTACCCAGACTACTGTGAGTGGGAAGCGACGCCGACAATTCATTGTCGTCAAAGCTCCCATCTTGTAGTGCAGCATCAGCCCCCTGCACCACAGTATTGGGGTCAAGTCCTTGTGTTTCAAGGACACTTCGGGACACTACATTCAGGGAAGTGCCGTGATGGATATTACTGCTCGGAGAAGAGGAAAGAGACAAGGTAGCAAGTGAGGATAAAGCTGCACTCTGCAGGGATGCTGTTCTAGATGCCAAATTTGTAATGAGAATCAGATTAAAGCAGTGGTAGGGTATAAGGGGGGGAGAAGAATTATAGGATATGGGGAAGCTAAATGCAGAACTTACGAAGGTCGGGTAGCTGCGTCTCGCGCATCGCTCAGTCTCCTTCTGGTCTTGCCAGTAGATGACAGACGACGATGCTTGGGAACAAAGTTGGTCCCAGATACTACGAGATTAGTAAGTACTTTGCACCGTAACATTCCACATTCATCATACCATGCAGTGGTTGGATAACTATGTCCGCAGACCGAGGAATGGATATTGGCGAAGCACTCGCAGCAGCGACAGAGAGAGAGAGCAGACTTAGGTTTGAACGATCATTCTGGTAGTATATGAGCGAGCTTTTCCTCGTGGAAACGACTAACGTAGGAGTGATGATTAACTCACGGAATTTGCGGAATCTACCAGAAGCTGTGACATTGCTGGTGATGGAGAGCTGGAATCCGAGGTACAAGACATAATAGAAATTTACAAGAATTAATACAAGCTCATGACAGAACAGAAACAAGGGAACACGATGTTCACAGATTGGTAGCCATTCAATCCTCTCGCATAGGTGCCACGAAATTTCAACGTCCGCCAAAATTTTGTCCCCAAAGGTCCCATTGAGCGCCTACTGCTGCTGCGCAACAAAGCCTACGGCGCCGACAGTCCTTACAAAGTGCTGAAGTATCTTAATCGGTCATCTCTCTCTCTGTGGAGTTACGAGTCTATCTGAATTATATCCTGGGGTTGATCTGCCGACAAGTAGATATCCATACCAGGCTCGAATCGGCATCCTTCCGGCCCGCACTAAAATAGCGACCGCGGAACTTTGTTGCATCAGGACCTAAACTTGTATGACACATCATTCAAAGCCCAGGCAGGACTCCAGGCAATCCAATTTCATCATGCGGCGATTGACACGCAAAACTCGTCTGAGACGGTGAAACCATTTAAAACAAGGGATGAACATAGAGTCTGCTTACTACTACAAGCTACTTCGGAACTAAACTATGGGAATCGTTTGGTTGTGTCTTATTTGTCAACAGCTTTGAATGCTAACAAACCACAACAACGCTCTTCGCTTCCGAATTAAAACATAACAAAAACAAAACTATATATAGCAGCAACTGGTTTCGATCCAGTGACCTCAGGGTTATGAGCCCTGCACGCTTCCACTGCGTCATGCTGCTGTCGGTCTAGTCGCCAGCAGTGACCGTATTGATGGCCTGGGCATATCTATGATTCTACTTACACCGAGTCAACGCGGCCGGCCTCTTTCACAAAGCCCTGAATTAATCAGGAGTAGAGCCTCGAAGCACCCCTATACATACACTAGATTTCTGAATCATTCTTGCATGAAATGCAAACATTTCACTCTTCTCTCGTGCACTTCTAATATGCAATCCACAAACTTTGTCCTGGCAGGCGTTATCTTGCAACTCGGTATTCCTGAACTCGATACACACCTATCTCGAAGATAGGCGATTGGACTCGGCGGTGGCGAATTAGATACGAACAAGAATTCCATGTGTAGAACAATTGAAATAAAGGAATCACCTATCAATTGCATGAGTCACAGCTACACGAAGACACTGCATTGACGGAGCGCTCAGTGCATGCTATTACTAATAAAGATATTCTTGTTCTTCGTCACCGCAAGGAACATTCTATCACACTAGATAGCGCTATTGTGAGATGCGGGCAGCTTGAAGTTTGAACTATATCACAGCACTTCAAACCTTTGCAAAACTTCTCGTTCGCACGACATAGCACAAAACCCTCAATCCAACATGATGGTAGTGGCACTAGATCGGAGGAACAAAATAGCATCAAGCACAATAGCAGATATGGAGCAGCAGGTATGAAAATTCCTGAAACGATATTAGTGGTGAAATGTCCAATTAACATTTATGAAAAAATTGAACATGGCAAAGAGAAAAGCACAAAGGAAAGGCGCAATACGTGAGCCTCGTGTATGGGAGCCTAGAACAACTTAGGACGCGCGCCCATGCACCCCCTTTCACAAGCTCCGAGACACCCGGATCACTGCAGTTTGAGCGCATCTCGCATTTTTGGTATACCCCGTTGAACCCACTCCGAGGGTGGCACGCGTTCCTCTGCGTCCGAGCTGGCGAAAAGGAGGTCGTTCTCCTCGGAGAATGCCCACACACCAGGGTCAGGCGTAGGTATCGCCATGATAGCGCGAAGCTCTTGACCTACATGGAGGTGTCAGTAGTAACCCTGTGCGAGTGCAAGCATCTTACGTATTATATTGTGCACGAAGTGATCCATATTCTGAAATTAAAGTTTGTCAATATCAAATTACTCGAGCATGTCCGAGGCAGCGATTGACCGCACAGCACGTACCAGATCATTTTTGTCATATCCTGGGTAGGTTAAGCGCATTGATATTGAGTATGTCAGACATCCCCGCTATCACGGAACTGAACTTACCAAAGGGATCTGGGAAGATATGCTGTGTGAGTAGATGATGCAATGAAATTACATCACGCACTTTCGATCTCCTCTCCAGCAACAAGGAAGCCAAAGAAGATAAAACTCTATTTTACAAGATAAGCGTTGGGCGATAGGGAGATGCGACTCCAGACAAGCGTGTAATGTGATGGCAATGATCCTATCAGGACTTACCGCGACAACAGTGGCGGGGATCGTGACCCATTTCAACGTCGACCAGACTTGGAACGGCTATATTTGCGAAGGTCGTCAATGGCCGCTGCATGGGAGAAGACAGATCCTCCGTACCAAAGCCAAACAATATACAACAGTTACCAGCCACAAATGAATGGAATATCTATGCTAAAATGAGTTCCCCGCGAAAGCGATGATATCAGGGCTTACGAAAATGGTATTGGGGTAGTGAGGATCCTTTCTAGACCAGTCAGGGCATCTACAAGCTGGGTGATTGTTGCCAGTAGAACAGCTGCGGGTTCAATAGTAAGAAGTCTGCAGAAATTGGGGACAGCGATGAACGGACTGGTAGTTGGTGCATCGACCACCTTGCGAGATTGCAGGGCAGAGACGTAAGAGCCCTAAGGTACCAGATTCAGATCTTGAACCACAGATCTTTGTGGAAAAATGCTAACCAAATACAACGAGATTTCCAGGGGAATGTTGTACGAATGTTGACCTCGGTGATTACGCATCACAGCTCTCCGTCTCGCTGCCCTCCTTCCTTTCACAGCATCACCGTGCTTATCCACCCCATCCTTAGCCAGCATCCTGACCAGTAGCGAGAACGGGAATAGATCGAACATCGAGTACTTGGGCGGATTCATAGCAGGGGCTAGCCTGATATCATCGGGGCCTGTAGAAAATTTAACGCCATTTTGGGAACGCCTGTCGGCGTGAAGCGTCTTTTCTGTCGCAAATGTCGCCACCCGGGGGATGATGCAGGTGTGGTAGTCGGGAACGGAAGTTGACCCGGAGCCGGCGCTCTCCTCGTGAGCCCTGATCCATGGAAGTGCCCTGAACGTGGTGATGCAGGAACATCATCACTCATGTTACTTGTCCTATTGAGATCGACGACGGAAGGGATTGACGGCGGAAGCGCATAGGTAGGAAGGAATTTGACCAAGTGATACAGATCCTCGTAGTAGATGCCATCTTCGCCACGCAAATAATGTTTAACGGCGACGGCGAATGCTTCGAGGAGGTTTACGGCGGATTTCTTCTCAATCAGAGTCTTCGCCTTGTATTCCTCCTGCTGGTCTGTGAGTGCCTGATCAATCGGATACGCGTTATCTATAAGCGGGAGATCAACCATCATCGAAGGTAGCCACGAGGCTAATGTGTACCTGGTATGTGTAGCCACACGGTGCGAGCGAAGGTGCGGCTTCCGAGCACAATCTGTGACCAAAGCCTTCGTCCCTCGTTGTAACGTTCGAAACTGGAAGTAGTCCTGTAGGAAATGACGAAACCAAGAACAGTACCAAATCTAGACAAGAACTGTAAAAAAACCCTGGCTTCTTATAAGATGTGAGACATACACGGTGATAAGAGTGGGTTGCAACGCTAAACTATGGACGTTATGGCTGATCACACAGATAGCAGTCGACCAAGCACCAAAGAAGATTAAGATGTGCCAGCATCTGAAGAGCGCAGTGGCCAACAAGGCATGTCCAAACGAAGACCAGGTAGACGGTCCTAGTAGTACGTCCGGAGAATTTGGATTGTAAACCGGAGCACCCTGGTAATTGAAGGACATGAGAACCACCCGCAGTGAAACGAATAAAACAAGAGTGAGAAGGAGCTCAACCAGAAAATTGATGAGTCGTTTAGCCGGGCGCGTTGCGTCGCTTGCAGGGTCTTTACATCAATTTAGAAATATTTGCTTACCGCACGTTGGGAATTCGACATTCAAGTTGAGTGCGTTTACTAAGTACCAAATTTACACAGATGGGGATGGTAATGGATGGGTACAAGTCGAGAGCACCGGTAGGCTGCTTAGTGCTGCTAAAGATCAAGCTACACGTTGGAAGCGCGTGCAGCTGGGAAAATGATAATGTTCTTATTAGCAACCAATTCTTGGCGCCTGCGGCCAAGACCTTTTGAAATTTAAGGGAGTAAGACCTGTCCACTAGCAGAAGGTATAATTGTCGAGCTAGAGTGTGCATAAACATGATGTTACTTGTTCGCGAACAAGATGATCATTCCCGGCAGTCGGACAGCCTAGAGCAACCCCAAGGAGTCAGCCCATTACATAACGTTTTCAAGGCGTTAAATATTTCATTGGACAAGTGACCTGTAGCTCGGACGCATGTGATTGGTGGAGAAGAGACCATACTGGTAGATTATCTGACTCGGCGATCAACGTGACCAGCGGTATGCGAGTCAGATCAATTGGTTTCCCCACTACACTCTCCACATATTTTCCAACTCCTCGAAACCTTTATCTGTTTTTATCGACGAGACGCTACAGTCATTCTGACATGTCGGTCGTTAATAAATCGTTCCATCCGTTCGACAAATCCCGTCTGGATGCTCTCCTGAATCGCAGATTTTTCTATGCACCAGCTTTTGAAATCTATGGCGGTAAGTGATACGTTATTATTGTGATCTACAATAGTGATATAGGCAACCTGCATTCACAGGTGTTGCTGGCCTCTATGACTATGGTCCACCAGGCTCGTCATTACAAGCCAATATCATGGCGGAATGGAGAAAGCATTTCATCATTGAGGATCACATGTTGGAACTCGATACCACCATCATGACTCCTGCTCCCGTCTTCGAGACGTCTGGCCACGTCGCTAGATTTGCAGATTGGATGGTCAAGGATACCAAGACTGGCGATGTCCTCCGTGCAGATCACCTCGTCAAAAGCGTCCTAGAAGCGCGTCTTGCCGGCGATCGGGAAGCTCGCGGGTTAGCTGCCCAACCGAAAGATGATGAAAAGGACAAAAAGAGAAAGAAGAAAGCGAAAACTGTTGTAGTTCAGCTTGCAGACGAGCTTGTGAAAGAGTTTGAGAGTATCCTTGCCCAGGCACGTCATTAATCTCTCGTCTGATACTTCTTCATAATTTTGGAACAGCTAGATAACTATTCTGGTCCTGAAATCGGCGAGCTCTGCCGAAAATACGACATCCGTAACCCTGATACTGACAACGAGGTTGGCGAGCCTCAGCAATTCAATCTGATGTTTGCCAGCAGTATCGGTCCCACAGGCCAACATCCTGGGTAAGTCCACCCTCTATCCATGCATCGGGGATATTGAAACACGTTGTCCAAGTTACCTCCGACCAGAAACCGCTCAAGGCCACTTCCTCAACTTCTCCCGCCTTCTCGAATTCAACAACGGTCGTGTACCATTCGCATCCGCTCAAATCGGTCGTTCCTTTAGAAACGAAATCTCTCCCCGCGCTGGCTTGCTCCGGGTCCGAGAATTCACCATGGGTGAAATCGAGCACTTCGTCGATCCCGAGGATAAGAGCCACGAAAAATTCCGCGAAGTGCGTGATACCGTGCTCAGCCTCCTCGATCGACATGTGCAAGTCAGTGGCAGCACTCAAGTCACCCAGATGACTATCGGCGAAGCTGTAGACACGGGCATCGTAGCGAACGAGACACTTGGCTACTTCCTTGTCCGCATCAATCTTTTCCTTATTAAGATCGGTATCAACCCAAAACGCTTGCGGTTCCGACAGCACATGGCGAACGAGATGGCACACTATGCTACAGATTGTTGGGATGCAGAGATAGAGAATGCAACAGGTTGGACCGAGTGCGTTGGTTGTGCGGATCGGGCGGCATATGACCTGTCGGTGCACTCAGCAAGGACTGGCCAGCCACTTGTTGTCAGGCAAGCACTGAAGGAGCCGATAGTAACCGAAAAGGAGGTACCAGAATTCAACAAAAAGGTCGTTGGCAAGACTTACGGGCGCGATGCAAGCCTCCTGCAAAAGGCCGTCGGTGAAATGGATGAATCCCAGCTTATCAAGCTAAAGGGTGAACTTGCCCAAGGGTCCGTATCTCCCCTTATTACTCGTTTTCATGGATTCACCAAGGCTCTTTGTACAGCCAAGCGACAATTTCTGCCGAAGGGAAGGAGTTCACCATCACCCCCGATCTGTTGGCGATCGAACGCAAGACATTTAAGCAATCGAGTGCGCTTGCCTTTTGTGCCATGGGTTTGCCCGATTTAACCTTTGGCAGTTCGCGAATTCACACCAAATGTCATCGAACCTTCATTTGGCTTCGGTCGCATCCTGTATACTTTGCTTGAACATAGTTTCTGGTGCAGAGAACAGGATATCGAACGTGGGGTAAGTATATTAGTCAATTATTCGATTAGGTGAACCGGCGCTTACTCCAGGATGCCCCAAGGTCTTGTCACTGCCTTCCGTCGTCGCTCCCACGAAGGTTCTCATCGTTCCCCTAAGTGCCAAGGAAGAATTCGATCCCCTCGTCCAGGAAGTTTGTGCGTCAAAACATGTTTCTTTGCAAAAGCACCCTTGAGGCTGACTGCGGGCTCAGCCACCAAATTACGGAAAGCTGGTATCTTCTCTCGAGTAGATGATTCCAATACCTCGATTGGTAAACGCTACGCCCGCAACGACGAATTGGGGACACCATTTGGTGTTACACTGGACTTTGCCTGTAAGCATTCTTTCACGAGCTCCGCTGACCCTGCAAACTTTAATTCGACTACAAACAGCTGTTCAGAACCGGACGATGACTCTCCGGTGCGTCTGTGGCGGTCCGCGGCCGACGGTCCGCTTCTTTCTGGCGATACGTTTGACTAACTTTACCTTCTCCATGTAGTGAGCGTGATACGACAGACCAGCTCATCGGCTCCATCGACGATGTGATTACGGTTCTCACGGAGCTGGTACAGGGCACTATCGATTGGCCAGCTGCTTGTAAACGCCTCCCTGCATATGATGGCATACAGGCCGTCGACTAAATTGGGATGGTTTGAAATTGATGTGTAACTTTGCATTACGTGCTTCAGCGTCATCAACGGGATGTGGTGATGGGGTAAAGATACTCCGAGGAGAAGTGAATATAGAGGATATCCTACTGATAGCTGATATGACGCTTGCATGTGTTAGAGGCGAACGTTCGAATCTCAGAATACAACACTCCGACTCCGTGAAGCGTTCGGTTTGATGCGCGGTCCAAGATACGAGGATTTTGTATCTTGTATCTCATACCGCGAGTTCTTTTCAGGAGGGAGGGAAATGAAGGGCATCACGATCTTAATCTGCTGGAAAGAAGTCGTTCATAATGAACGACATACGTTGCGAGAGCGGCGTGGCGTGCTTCGTCATACTCGGGGGAAATACGGTGTCTGATGGCATCCAATTACACACATGCATCGATGAAATCAATTCACGTGCATGGGATGATGTTAGCTGCCGTAAAGCCAAACACGAGTTTGACACCCCTGCAGAGATGAATCTTTGAGGGTAACAAAGTGTTGTGGAGCACCTTTGCTTTACCAGGGCCAACGTCGAGCATGTTAAATCTCACACCCACGTTCGGTACCGTGACGCGACTTTTGCGCTGATCTGGCACATTGTCACCTGGGAGACATCCGCATATTCCTTTGGACCCGCAGGACCTCAGGCTGCAACACCGACGGAATCGTGTGACTCGCGATAGACTGATACTGGATGTTTCAGCTGACTGTGTCAACTGACCGTGACATCGCGGAAACCAGGGGGTGGGTCCAAGTTTCGCTAGGTCATGCATAGGTTGTAGGCCTCCGTTCATCAAGTATAAAGTACGATGAGGACGACAATCCTCCGCCGTCGGCGAAACCCTAGTATGACGACATGTCCGCCATTGATGAGATGTCGTACTCTCCATTGCGCCAGGCGGCCGGTGCCGTTGCATTGTGAGGGCACGCCGCGGTGGGAAAGAGCGGAGCGCTTGTACAAGCCCAGAGAGGCAAATTAAGACGGACATGGCCGATGCCATACGACAGCGAATAGTAGTTCGCCCAGCCGCATAGTGGCGAAACTTTGCTTTGCATGATAAGTAAGATGCACTGACTCGTGGCTTTTTCACATTGAAAAGTTATTCTTGAACTCACATCAATTGCAATGAGTGTTGGGAAGACGGGTTAATATTTACGGACCGTCGTTGAATATTGAGCTCAAGATCTCTTCAGAATGAAGGAGAGTTGATGGAATTCGTGAGAAAATGAAAGACATGCTGAACGGGAAATGGAACGTGAAGGTAATCTGGGTATTTCCTAGGAGACCGCGCAGAGTTTAGATGAGTCTTATGGAAAGAGCAATTGAAAGATATCATAATGCACGAGCACAGGCTGACCATCGACATAGATAACTGGGAAAGGACCCCCAAAATTTACGCGAAGCTTTTGACGGGAGACATGGGTAAGATACGCCTGCAGGCATTCGAAGCTCAGCTAAAAAGGTAGTAAATCTTATGGTGAGAGTGAGCTTATCGTTCATAAACGGATGTTTATGTACTAGACGAGTTCTTCCATGTCCGCGCAAGAAATAGGACCGAAAATAAGGGTCGTCCACACCGTAAGCAGATCTAGTACCTGCACATCCCTATGAGAACAATTTATGAGAGTAACCTCGATGACCTTCCCTGATCAGTGACTGACACCGCTGTACTAGTTTGTGTGACTGCGGCATCCCGCGGGAAATGAATCCGGCTCTTAACGCGTTACTTTATATAAGTTCAACCTCAAACATTATATATTTCTCCTCATCCTCCGATTACAAGGTCTTTCAGACTCTTTCAGACTACTATTCCAAGGCTACCTTTGCCCTTTGTCTTCATATTCGTTTCTTTATATTCCTTAGAGGCTTCACTTATTAGACTAGCCCTCCTTTTCACAATGACAACACGCCAACCTTCCAACTCTCGCGCCGACAAGCTTGTCGCTCTCCCAAGCTTGTCATGCGGTCTCTCTTCATTACCTCAAGCCAAAAGCATGGACAGCGTGTCACTACATCCAAACATGTACGCGCAGCGGGCAGCTGAAAGCGAAGCCAAGGTACTTTCTTCGGTTCTCACTATTCGCCACTCGACATTGAACGCGTTTTTCCTCTCTCACAGCTAAAAAACGTTCTGTCCAAGACTGCCGCATCACACCCACAAGCTCCTCCTCCCGTCCCTGCCTACATGAACCCAGTAAGTGACGCTTGGAATGACCATTACGAGAATTTGTGCTGACCGCCGTTAATTTTTTTTCCGGTCATTCTAGCCTCATCATAACTCAAATTCGCCCAATTCATCTCCGCCCTTGATGATGCGGAAATCTGTAAGTACCCGTCTCCAAATTGTTACTCCATTTGTCTGATTCTGGAAACAATCAGAAACCAAAATTCGCGGCCTAAGTGGCCTACCTAGACTTGCTTCCTTTTATATCTTCCTCTGCTGGGAACTATCGTAGATCTTGCATTACCACCATAAAGCGGCACACCTTCTCATCGACCATCCTCATTCGAGTCACGTTATTGCATCGCATATAGACACATCGCATACCTATATTCATACCAGGGCATTTGTTTCATCACCCGTGGTTTTTTGTTGCTTTTGTTTTGTCCCACCCGGCCCAGCGCTTCAGGTGAAGATTGGATTTTTAATACGGGTAGCGAGCTTATACTTAGCCCGGGAGGTCCTTTACTCTGCTACGCGTCTAGTCATCATAATTTAATGGATATTAGGATTGTTGGGCAACTGATATTGGTGTGTGACGGGATGGGTGAGAGACCCTCAAAAGTCACAAGGGTAGGGCTGTTTCAAGGGACGGTGCTGGGCAGCCCTGGACGGCTCTCGATTTCTGTGTGGTGAACTTGGACCCACTGTTGGGTAAGTAGTTGCACGTGCAAACTTAATTAAAAGAGGATGACTGGGGATACGGCAACTGTAAGTGGCTTACCGCAATCTATTACGCGATAGGCTGTTGGAAACACTTGAGAGTGGACCATGTCCTGGTAGGCCTAACTCCTGAAACACCTTGATAGTAGTTCCTGATACCCGATCCGGAGAAGCAAGGAAGATCAGCTTCCGCCGATCTGCAACGTTGCATGCAGTTACGAGCTCATTGAATCAATTACTTCTAATTTGCAACATGGTCGTATTCATCGGACACACATAAATGATATTCAAAACAGGGTTTCCAACTGGTCGCCGTGCCAATGCAATTACCGCCCTGAGCCTGGCCAGAGTACTGCGTTACATTTGCTTTTCCTACCGTAATTGGGATAACCATGCGATCACTGAACTCTTAGAGTCGCGGCGCGCCCCGCAATTCTCCCCTGGTGCCAGCTGGTGCCCCACGTCACAGATTAGCATTGTCACTATCGCTCGAGGTGACATCCGATGGTGAACTGGGAAACATCGGAGTATCCCGTATAGTCCTTATCACTAGTTCTCTGAACTGAATCGTTCTGTGATTCTTCAGACGATTGACAAAGTAAGTATTCTTTAGCTTTTACGTTTTGCGTTCTTAGAAGCGTCATCGCCTTGCCCAATGAATACTCTCAGTGCTTGTTCCCACGGTTCGGCGCGGGGTTAAGGGCGCCGAGTGCCATTGCGGCAGGGCTGAGTGAGTCGAGAACTCCAAAGTTCTTCCGGCCATGAGAAATATATAGTTGATTCCTTTTCGAGTTGGTATGTTCCGACCTGACATTCAAGCACAACTTAATCTTGTTTTTGCACGTAACATTGTGATAGCATATGGTTACTGTCGATGATAAGGCTATGTCGACTCCCACATGTTTTCCTTTGCACCAGTGGTCTTTCCAGTCCCTGAGATGTGACTGCGTACTTGGATCCTTAAGACTACCTTACAGATCTCAGAAGGAGCTTCGAGGACATGGTCGGGGAATCCCGATATATCATTTCCTCCACGGATCTTGAATGTACTAGTGCTGTCAGTCTTGGCGACGCGAGATTAATACCTCGGACGTTTTAGCGAGGCCAATAATTGCATGTCACGATCGATTGGGCGCAGGGTATGTTACAGCATTTGCCACATCGATGCATCTAGTGGTCCTATGTACTGGGTTCTTTGTACCACCCTTGTCACCCATCCGATTCTGAGCCATATTCTGGAGCCAGTTCCACTATATGCACATGTCATATCTAGATCTCCTATGAGAAGCACCAGCACTGGATTGTGAGAACACTAGAACTTTGCATACAATGTGTTCCCGTGCTGCAGTGAATAGCTCCTCATGATCAGATTCGGCAGGACAATGTGGCATCCCTTCCCCTGAGTTGTCTTTCCCTTATTCGAGGACCTTCCCAATTTGGTTCGTCGTATAAGTCATTAGGGGCGATGAATAACTCATACATCACGAGGGATCCTGCACACGTTACACGATTGGCTACTAGACCAGCTGGACCACGTCAAAGCCCCCCGTTTCCCTTCGCAACTACTAACCGTCCCATTCCCTCGTCAAAGTCCACACTGTCACCACCAGCTTCAATCTCATATATGGCCTTGCCCGTCTCAAAGGTAGGGCCGAACTGCATCTCACACCGGGGCATATACACCAGACTTGGCCCGCAAAGTCTCACCTCCCGCCCAAAGACGCACAGCCCGCGCCCAGACGAGCCCATACATATCTGCGTGCACTCCTGCCCCCTTAAACCCCTGTCTATATCTCCTAGCACACCGGGAACAAATGGAGATAATCGGAGAAGCCGATATGGAAAGCTGGACGGATGTTTTGAATCGTCATCGTTGCCTAATGGAATAAGCATCGACAGAGCGATCCTGCCCAACATGTCCTTGGGACGCGCGACAATTGTAAGGGAAGGTGTTCCTGGGATGGTGGGTACGCCGGGCCATCTGTGCAGGGCCAACCTCGAGGGACACAAGTCGTGAAGGCAACAGGCGAGCTGATGGGCTCAGAATACATGAACACTTTCGTATGGGGGATCACCATCCGTCCCTGAGCAGGTATGTCAGGCACCGGGAACGCGCTAATGCATGTCTCCCATGCTACAAGGATATGGTCGGAGAAATGGACGAAGCCTAGATATGGTCCAAACTAACAAAATCACACGGGTCTGTCATTTCAAGTCACGCTTGGCGCACTCACCAGATCAGGTATACGTGGGAGTAGGGCAGTGCCTTTTGTCTGAGCATGCCAATCTAGGAGCTCGAGACCGCCGCCGCCGTGCTCTGACGTAGTATCTAGGAAAAGGAGGTGTTGCGATATCCCTGCGATAGTACCAGGGATGAGAGAGTAGTCACATAGCTTGCTGAGCGCAGGCTTCAAGGTGAGAGAGAATACAGTGGCGTGTTTGTTTGGTCTGTCTACTGTCAGCGACCCTTTCGATTTCAAGACGAGGGACTCACTTGTCTCTGCAACCGATGGCAATAATTCCCTGACCATCTGTATCCTTTACAACTGTGCAAGTATCATCACTCGGTGACGACCACTCTCCAACTCTTTGAAGTTTTCTGCGCGGCCCCTGGCTGCCCAGAGATGAGCCAGTAGACCACTGTGTTTCCATGGACAGTCAAGACCTGCGTTCCACCAGGGATAAGCAGGATCTGGTCGACAATTTCTCCTTTTCTGCTCGACACAATGACTTTAGGCGTAGATCGTGGCCAACGTTTCTCAAGGGAAAGAGCCAACACCGTGCGATGCTCCAAATCCGCAGAAGGCAGAGCAGGTAAAGCATGAAAAGGCCCAGGGGGTGGAAGGTGGCGGGCTAATACTTCAGTGCAGAAATGCCACATACCAGACGCTGCGAAGTTTAGACAGGAGATAGTAACGTTTGGAGGTCTGAGAAAGGTGATGTGTCGGAATCCGCGTGGAAACAAGTGATGGACGTACCTGTCTTAGTGTCAATATTTCTTGCACTGACAAGGTCTGGAAGATCTGTAGGAGAATATCGTCGACCAGGTTGTCCAAGCTCGGTGTGCGATGCATTACGGATAACAAGGGAGTTGGCTGCACAGTGGTTGAACCAAGACCAGGAGTCATACCGAAGACTTGTCATGCTCGCCGCAGAATGTTGGGGTTCAGACCGCCTGTCCGACCCACTTGAGATCGAGATGAGATCTAGTAACATGTCTTGTGGTGGAAGTGAGGACAAAGAAAGCAGACATGCAAGCAACTCGTATAAGTGCTCACTGGCAGTGAGAGGTAGTAGTAAATACAAGCTGCGGGCTCGTCCTCGTCCTCGTCTAATGGTTTTGAACCGTTCAACGGTCGTGCCACGACCATGATGTCTTAGACTTAACAACTTACAAAATTTCGTGACCGAACAGGTCGCGTCACGACGCCGCGGCCCGCGGCTGTGCGGTATTGATTATATACGCGGTCTCTTGCATCAACGATCGCGACTGAGACATGATATTATAGATGAATTTTCCATCTATCTGTCGAGCTCGATGATCATGAGGAGATTGGTTGAGGTCTTTTGGACAACTTAGGTTGTGCTGTGCACAGCAACCTCGTTGACTGCCTCATGGCTTCCTAGTAATGGTTAATTCGGTCAAGTACCCTAACCACCTTCCTGCCCTCCTTCCTTCGCTCTCCTACATCTCCTCTCCTCTGGACCTTGCCATCTGTACGAAATGCCCACATTTACGTTATCCCTTGAGGGCGTCGGAAAGGTCATTACAATTCGTTTGAAGCGTCAAGGACACACACAACACAACACGAGAACCGCCGACCATGAGGATGGCTCTATCCCTACAGACCTCTCTAGTCCAGTTCCTGCACCAATTCATTCTTCGAATTCTTCGCCAAATGCTGTTTCTGCAAGCAGTGAACCAGGTCTCGAAGAATTCTCCAATGGCACCGGCTTTCCTTCCGCAGAGTACCCTTGGGGTGCATCCCGTGCCCGCGAAGCTCTCGACATCGTTCAGGTAGCTTTGCCCCTGGTACACGATTTTACGAGTGTAATTCCACTTGTCGGTGCTCCGATGGAACGCGGCTATTAGCGGATTATTGGGAATCCTTCAAGTAATGAATGTGAGTGCTTATCGAATGATGAGGATGTTTTCTGGATTTCAAGGGCCATCACAGACACGCAATCAGAACAAGGCGGCCTTAGATGACCTGCATTTGCGACTCCATCGACTATGCTGCTATTTGTGCAACGCCCCACCTGCCCTAGATCGTCGTGAACATTCCCGGAGAGACCCTCTTAGCTAGGTAAACCCCTTGTGAATGTGCGCTTGAATTTTCCCGACACTGAGCCGCACTCAGAAAGCTGCGAGATACCTCAGCCCGCCTGAAAAAAGTTGCAAAAACGTCGTCTCGCATACACATCTGTCACACAAGCTATCACCGGATGCTCAACTGACATCAACGATTATCTGATGGAGTGTTTAGTTGTGTTCTACTCCCTAGAGATTGCTTGCATTTACTCACTACTCTGATTAGTTGTCATCCCAGATGCAAACTCAACGTGAAACACGCGAACTACTTATAATTTCACGGAGGCGGCAAGAGGGTTCTCAGAACATCGAACAGTCCTTCGCGGTACTATCTGCCATGAATTTAGCCGGAATCGTCGCGCCTGGCTGCGTGACACTGGTAGACGCAACAGGCCACCACCATCCAATATCAGTGAACTTCTGCGCCTCATATCAGATTCCGTTCGCTGACCTTGAAATCCTTCTTGTGGAAGCTTACTCGTCAAATTGTCTTTAGCAACTCGATCATATGCTCCGAGTTCTGTTTGAACGCGATGCAATTGAAGCCAAAATTCAAAGACAGTATATAGAAGAAGGAAAGTACGATTTGTGCATTGACGGGGGCACGCAAGTAACCCCACTTACAAGCCATGAATGGTCAAGCATTGAACCAGGCACGAAGATTGTGATGAGGGTTACCATTCAACAGAAGACATGGTCAGGCTTTGATGTTGACTACCAATGTCACTTTTTGCGGCGCTGTGAATCGCCTTGGCGTCAGGTCTGTGAAATATCGGTCTAGAGGGCGGACTGCTTGCTCGACTGATTGGTGAGTATGTTTGTTTTCTAGGTCCTGATGGTGCCTAACGGTGAGAAGTCGAGAATGCAAACGACAGCTTTCAGATCACTCGTGATGAAAAGAAGCAGAGCTCGCGATCTTCTAACAGTGACTCCAATCACACGACTGACGCAGAAACACTCCTTATTCGCAACTTTCATGTCGAGGAAATTGTATGTCATCTTGGAACTTCGCTAGTAGTCTTGAGCTGAGTACCTCCCGCTCTCAGCCTGTGCGTGATCTCGTCTTTTGAGCTTCTTAGCGGACGCTGACGGTGGCACGGCCATGTCCCGCTCTCAGGATGTGCGTGATCTCGTCTTTTCGAGGTTCTTAGCGGACGCTGACGGTGCCACGGCCATGTCCCGCTCTCAGTGGGTGCGTGATCTCGTCTTTCGAGGTTCTTAGCGGACGCTGACGGTGCCACGGCCATGTCCCGCTCTCAGGATGTGCGTGATCTCGTCTTTCGAGGTTCTTAGCGGACGCTGACGGTGCCACGGCCATGTCCCGCTCTCAGGATGTGCGTGATCTCGTCTTTCGAGGTTCTTAGCGGACGCTGACGGTGCCACGGCCATGTCCCGCTCTCAGGATGTGCGTGATCTCGTCTTTCGAGGTTCTTAGCGGACGCTGACGGTGCCACGGCCATGTCCCGCTCTCAGTGGGTGCGTGATCTCGTCTTTCGAGGTTCTTGGCGGACGCTGACGGTGCCACGGCCATGTCCCGCTCTCAGGGAGTGCGTGATCTCGTCTTTCGAGGTTCTTAGCGGACGCTGACGGTGCCACGGCCATATCCCGCTCTCAGGGAGTGCGTGATCTCGTCTTTCTAGCTTCTTAGCGGACACTGACGGTGCCACGGCCATGCCCCGCTCTCAGTTTGTGCGTGATCTCATCTTTCGAGCTTCTTAGCGGACGCTGACGGTGCCACGGCTATGTCCCTCTCTCAGAGAGTGCGTGATCTCGTCTTTCGAGGTTCTTAGCGGACGCTGACGGTGCCACGGCCGTGTCCCGCTCTCAGTTTGTGCGTGATCTCGTCTTTCGAGCTTCTTAGCGGACGCTGACGGTGCCACGGCCATGTCCCGCTCTCAGGGAGTGCGTGATCTCGTCTTTTGAGCTTCTTAGCGGACGCTGACGGTGCCACGGCCATGTCCCTCTCTCAGAGTGTGCGTGATCTCGTCTTTTGAGGTTTTTAGCGGACGCTGACGGTGCCACGACCGTGTCCCGCTCTCAGATTGTGCGTGATCTCGTCTTTCGAGCTTCTTAGTGGACGCTGACGGTGCCACGGCCATGTCCCGCTCTCAGGATGTGTGTGATCTCGTCTTTCGAGCCTCTTAGGCAACGCTGACGCTGCTACGGCCATGTCTTTCTCTCAGCCTCAAGTGCGTGATCTCGTCTGCTCAACTTGTTGCCGCTTATTGACCCCAACACGACTAGGTAGAGTTTTTTACGCCTTCTTGGTGAGACCCCGACTAGGTCAAGTCCCCCCCAACATGGTATGTGATCTTGTCTTTTGGATGAATAGTGAACACTAACTCTTTAATAGATAGTACGTACCTCCACATTCAGAGCATGTCTTTGTGCCGATTGCATATAGCATCTTCTGGGTACAGCAACATCGAGGAGATCGAAGAAGACAGTGATCAAGATGAAGAGGAGGATGGAACGGAACAAGACTCAGATGATGAGCCCTGGTAGCAGCAGAGGACGTGGACAGACGTGGTTTCCAGAATTGATCTTGTCCATGACATATAAAAAACTTTCTTCTATGTACGGCCTGTCTAGACCTGATTGCTCACATCTCCTTCAAATCTAACTTGTAACATCAAATAAACACCACAACGAAAATTCAGATGACATCCTCGTTTTGCCTGCAGAATGCCCAGTCATTTGTATCGTTTCCTGTGCTACACCGCTGCCAGTTAATACCCTTAACTTTCACTGGTTTCTTCTTCTTTCACTCCCTCTCAAAAACATACATATACGCCAATTTCTTCAGATCCCTGACGCTCGTTTCATCCGCTCGCACAACCTTCTCATCGTTGAAAAGCACCCAATCTCCGACAGCATCATCTACATCCATCGCATCGCCTCTCGGCATACGAATATGTGCGACATAATGACCAGAATGAACACTGGGACCTTTGTGCGATATGAAGGCCTTCAGCCTGTATCGAGCAGGTAAACGCGATGAACCAGGTGGTACTTTTTTAGTTTCTGATGATGAGGGTAGCGGGTGAGTTGTCTTCGCCAGTGTCATCGGGATGGTTAAATAGCCATTCGACGGCGCGCTCTACATTTCCATCCTACGACGTTGTTAGAATAAGAGTCAGGACGAGCCGGAAAAACTCACGGTCTCCCTCAACGCCTTCTTTGCTTGCGCATTTGTGAAGCCCATGTCAGCAAGCATCGCTACCTGCTCTGCGGGTGGTTCTGGTGCATTACCATGTCCCGATCCTGCTGTTTGAATGGGTACGTTGATGTCTAAGAAATCATGTTAACTAAAATGTCAAGTGGGTTCATTTCGGCACACCTGGGTCCTCCATGTGCATGATTAACCATTCCATCGCGACTTCAGCCCCAGCGTTGCCAGTTGAAATCAGAGCGTTCCGACAACTGACGGTCGGGAAGCCCATAGCCTCAAGCTGAGAGAGCGCTTCGGCGTCAACTTCGGGCTGCGAAGGAGCTGAAGTGTTAGAACTATCTGGTAACTCCACTTCGCCAGACTGAAGTCCATGTCCAAGGTAGTTATCAAGATTAAGCTCATCATTCTCTGGAAGGATCACAGGTATGTCTGCGATTCGTGGATGTTAGAATGGTATCAGACACCGAGACCGCAAAAAGCTCACCTAGCTTCGTTGGGACCCAGTTCACAAGCTGGAACTTCTTTGCATGCAGCACCAGAACGTCAGGGAAAGTAGCAAACTGCATCTGCCTAAGTCCACCATTAGGCAACCTTTGGGTAGACCGAACAGTATGTGCATACCTGACGGCAATTCACTTTTCCGCAGCCTCCTTCACACTGGTACTCCAGAGCCTCTTGTCCACTCGGTCCGAGGAATAGGTTCAAGCACTGCTCCAAAGAAACGGAGCGGTACCGCTTCTTTCCAGGACCACTTTCGTCTGGTGTACCGACAGTTGCCGCTCCCGTATCCGCTTCGCCATCAGCGAGTTCGTGAGCGGGTACACCAAGGCTAAGGGTATCCATCGTGTCTATGCGATACCTGACCCTGTGGCAGGACTGGCACTGGAGACGTTGTTCGAGGCCAAAGGCAAACGTTTCGGTCGGTTCGGATTCTTTTATGGATGATTAGCGCGAGTGATAAATGAGACAACCCTCTAGTACCTGATACGCCGCGAATATTTTGGTGGTTGAATCGTCTAAGTACTGTCAACAGGTGACTAAAGAATTCTTCCGCATCCTGCTGGCGCATGGTTGAGAACTCAGCGTGGCCTTTACCGACGAGAGCCTTGAATCCTGCTGGCTTCAGGCCCGCCTGCCAAGGAGAATGTTCAGGTGTTGGATGTGCGAGAGCGTCAGTCGGAGCTGCGGAGCGTGCGTCAAATGTCATGCCCATAATCTACAATATGGTTGATCTCATCTTTCAACATACCCTGTTCATGATCTGTGTGAGGCTTAGAGTATCGTCCGCTGAGCAAGCCGTCAGCGAGCTTGTACATTTGACATTCCAGGCAATCCGCAGGGAGGGCATGAGTGCAATTCTCCCAGTGAGCAGCTGCTGTCGGAGAGACATAGGCGGAACTTGTGCCACAAGGTCTTTTACCATAATAACGGATTTGGAAAAGAGGGAGTGAAAACAGTGTCTGAATAACGGAGGCCATATAGCAGCTGTAAGGAGCAATCGTCGTAAATAATAGTTGCTAAAAGAGATCGAAAACATGCCTGTTCCCGAGGTTGCTAAGACCTGTAGCACCAGCACCAAAGATCGGTTGAAGTGCAGAACCGTCCTCGGCCGTAAGGGAGAAGTCAAACAGGAGGTTTTGCTCGATTTGCTGGTTTAAGGATCAGATTTAGGACGATAGCAATATATTTCTCCAATAACGCACAAGTTCAGTCATACTCTTCTCGGTCTTCTTCTGTACCGCGACATTGATACCAAAGGTACCGAGGTGGGTTGCGAGCTCTGGATCAATGCGGGCGTCATTACATGCATAGCAGTATACATCTTGGAAATTTAGTCAGATACATATCATAAAGGCGAGAAATAACGACTGACCAGCACCGCCCTCAGGCGTAATAGTTCCGAGCTTTACGCATACGGGATGCTGGGTCGTATTAAAATGTGCTAGTGCATGGCCGTTGCCGCCCGTGCCACCAAATTGGGCACGACCGCATCCAAGAGCACCACAAGCAAGGCAAAGCCAGAGATTTGAGGTAAGCTCGCAAGAGGCGCAATGCGCCAGACCTAATGTTGGAATGAAAACGCATTCTTGATCAAGAGGAGGTTGATTTTCACCTTCTTGGGGTATAGCCCCACTCTGGAGCTGCTCCAAGCAAAGTGTGTGCTCGCAAGCTGTGATCTCCTCTTCCCAAGCTTTGACTTCAGATTGACGTGCCGATGAAAGCGATAGCATGACACCATCAGTTAGACGCTTTGTCTGTGGTGGTAGTATCAACGATACCGATCAGACAAGTAATATGTGAGTATACTTGCGTTTTCAAACATCAATCGCTATTTCTTTCCCGCCTTGCAGATCACACTTCCAACACTTGAACACAGTGGTATGTTCGTATTTGTCTTCTTCGCGCTCCTCATTAATGGCAAGCCTTTTCATTTTAGCCGGTGGCTCCTCTCCATCAGCCTAGCACGATTCTAGTGTATGTTGCACATAAATGCGTTACCACTCACGCGATTCGAAGCCTTCTTCTTTGGGGTGCGCTTGATATTCAGAGTGAATGAGTGTCCTGATCGGAGGACATGGTTACGCGTATGATGACGATCTGAGTCAAGACATGATCCATTAAAGCACACCAAGCAAACGTCGATGCCCGCGGGGCCATCCTGCACAGGCGTGAACTCCGGAATTGTGTATCAGCCTCCTTAATCGCCTACCTGATTATCAAAACATTGCGTGCATTCTTCCCTATGAACTGATTGGCTTAATTTTGGTTCTCTCAAGCCAGATATATCGTGAGCATGAGGACAAGTTGCGGACGTCGACATAGTAGAAATACCCGTATTCGTTGTGGTCGAATCGAAAGATCAGAACTCGCAAGAGGAGCGCGATTTGGGACATTGTCACGTGGTCATCATGTATAATGAATTCTGTCACATTAGTCATTGACACTCCTACGATTGCGACACTTTTGGTCCGGTTCTATTTTTTTGGCTCCACAGAAAAAACATTGTATCGCAAGCTATCCTGGTCTCTACTCACTATCCCATGCCGGACGGATCCAGTTTATGCTATTTACAGGGTGCTTGGTTACTAGCAACTTGAAACGCATCATTATCACAGCACGTCCAGCCTGAAGAAGCGCTCTCTGGTAGCGCAGACGAGTGCAGAGCGTTTATAAGGAAAGTCAAAAATCTGGACCTAGACTTCAGCAGACAGTCACAGTAGAATTAATACTCCCACTCACTGTTGCGATATGCATGGCCGAGTCAAATTCCACTTTGATGATGGAGGCATTATCAGCTTTGGGCTCGCCCATCACATTTTCCGTGCGGGAGTCCGCCAGGAAGCAGTAGTGTATCAGAGCACGATGCCACATATTTGCTGCATGATTGTTTTTTGGTAAGACTCGGCTTATACGCAGTGATACATGACTTACTTCGTTCGGCACCACGGAACTTATCCTCTCCGACAAGGACGTGGAGGCCTCTGTCCCAGTCTCCAGGACCACCATGAACGTAGGGCGCCACATGATTTTCCTTGCCTACCATTTTAGCCTATTTCAACATCGTCTAAGATACTCACCTTTAGATACGTGATCTCCGCATACCCCATGGGCTCGCCGTTCCAACTCATTATCACAGGCAGAAACAGCAGGATCGTTCGTTACTTCTGTGATATATGCTCTGTGTTTCTCCAGCGAGCCGCGTTCTCCCCACGCCTTGTTCACTCGCTCTTGGTTATGCCAACGATGAAACGAGTCTAGATGTGCTGAAGTATCCGATCCGCTGCCGAGATCAAAGTACGTGAACTCTAGAGTCTCCCCTATGGATGGGCAAAATCGCCTAAATAACGTTTTCTCCCGGTTTGGGCTTTGGTGGACGAAGAGGGTGCACGGAAATGACAGTGGGTGTACGGGTGAATGACTGGATGTAGGGAAAGGGCGCAATCGAAAATGACGATGGAGGTAGCCAACCGCGAGTATGGTATCCTTGTGTGCCCGCACCCTGCCAGAACGTGGCTCTGTGCAAGTATATCTCCTTCTTGGGAGCTGTAGGCGCATGCGCCGTGCGTCCGAGGCCAGATCGAAGTAAATATGAGCGTAGCTCTTCGTTGTTGTTGATTGTCTGAGACAGTACGACCGGGATGGTTTCTTGATTGTGGTACAGTGTGAAGAGTGCGTACACAGTTGCCCACATATCTTTCACGGATATGTCGTTTCTAGACGCCTGTGGCAATCTTGGGGAAGGAAGGATCTCTATCACCTGAAAGTTTGGCACATGTGATGCAGTATTTTCAAACTGCGTGCCGACAGCTGAAAGGACAAGCTGCGCGGTCTGATCGAGTAAATGATACTCGCACACAACCAGTCCATCGATGCGAACGAAATTTGTCGGCGAAACAGAGTCTGCCTTGGCAGTCATCACCGCACCATCTGGCAAGATGAATTCGTCCACATTCTGATCATCACTGACAGGATTGTCTGTGAGTGCATTTTGTATGGCTAAGAGACGTTGGACAGCACGAGCCATCAGTACTGCGGTGGCTAGACTTACAAGATGAAACCTAAAAGCAAACACTGGGCCGATCGGATAGACTTAGTCTCCCCTAGACAGCCCTTTATAGACGAAGGAAGATAGTGGTTCCTAGATAAGACCAAAGTCGAACGTTGATTAATCGATTCCTGACTTCATTGATTCGTGCTTGAAGTCACTTGATGAAGTGGCGTTCGAACTTGACATATGCATATGTCCGAAATTTACTAACTAATTTGGACGGACGATTTAGCCAGGACCAGCCCCATGGATTTGGAGAACAAACAGCTCTAAACACAACATCGTACACGTGGGAGGGCGGGTGCGCAAATAATCGCTATCGGAACGAGTAAATTGAGTGAGAAAGGACTAAGCAATGAAGAAACTAACAGCCTACCTAGCGAGACGAGACTGAGAAGAGGCCCAGGGTCAAACCTCACTCCACTAAAGGAGGTGGCAATGAGGATTGCGCAATAGTGACATTTTAACATGTCACACGATGTCAAGGGCCACAGGTCCCAAAGCCTTGGATAGGTACGGGAAGATCCGAGGAACATGAGTGTGCCAATTGGGGATGAAGACATTGGACAACGCAGTCTGACTATCTTATTGGTCTAGGCCATGGTGGGTCCCAAATAACTGATCCATATCTTGAGCAACATCGCACGAGGCAAAACAAAATCAATTCAAAGCGGTCACGGCCGGGGAGTCGGGGCACAAGTGCCATTACAATTTAGATGGTGGTTGAGGAAACAGGACGATGTATCAGGCCTTCTGTGCATCTTGCTGGACAGCAAAGAGGCTGCGAAGTGCAGGTGGCCGTTGAACTGTACGTCATCGAACAGTCTTTATTGTCTGGTATCAATTCCTTGTGCGAGTCCCGTGCTTGAATAGAAGAACTCACCGAACGCACCAACGATGCGATGCAGCGCCGTCTCTCACACCAAAGTCATTTCTTTCGTACAATGTCGGTGTTGGCCTGGGGCCGACACTATTACGCGTTTCCACCCATTCACGAAAGAAATCCATTGAAAGGTGGGAGCCCCCTGCACTCGAATAGGGCTACTAGTATGTCTTACTAGGAGTCACCGACCACACGGGACAATAAATACACACGATTCAAAACCGAGGGGAGATTTTCTTCATACTGACATATTGTCTGGCAAAGGGGCTCGAAGTGCAGGTGGCCGTTGCGTATTTATTATGTGAATTCCCTTCATTTTCACTTGCTAATCACTGTCACTTACCAAAGCCTACGCAACCTGACACTGAAAAATGCTTACAGGACATCCCAACGCAAGTGCTTAAACGCCTCACTCCAAAATCTAGAGCATGCGTCGAGCGTCTGAGGACGTATCGATTGGATAGACCTAACCTGTAAGTCGCCTCGCACGGCCCACCACCACCCACTACACGAGTTTGCATGCAGCTCTTGGCAACAAACGACCAACCTGGCAGCTGTGCTTTTTCTGCTATACCATATGGGCAAACCGGAGAGCTCAGGGTGTTACTGGCGACATGGTCCAAGTAATTGCGTGCACATCCAGGATAGACAGCGTTACCTGGTGGGACAGCAGATGAAGGAGACTCGGATGAGAGTTTGTCCTGGGTTGCTGTAAGTGCTGTGGTTTTGAGTTGAGCTCATTCTTCGCCAACTATGTGCTTTCATGCAACTCAGCTTCGCAAAGCAAATTCGAACGACTAAAATAAAATTCTCAGTGCCTCGACGCGACGGTACTTACCTTTTTCACTATGTCCAGTATGTTCACAGCGTTCAAGTTCAACACAGTTTACAGCCACGCCACGCTGTGATCACAAAGAAGACTCTGATCGGCAAGAAGGTGCGTCCTCTCACGTGCAAGCTGATCATAGTGCAATTGCAAAATGGTTGGGTGGTGTATCCTCGTCCACGACCGAAATTCTTCTTATCTATACATGCATCTTTTCATGGCGGTAGCGCCAGGAACGTGAGTTGACAGCTGGGAGCCTTCTGTACCGCCACACAGCATATCGCTATATATTAATATCGTGATTTTACAAAGATTCTATGTAGAAACTTGAACTGCCCATCCACACAGCATGAGACTGTCAAGTCCATTTATAATTTGGCAGTGAGCACTACTTTAATAATCTCAAACTTGTGGTGACAGACCACCACACTCAGACTACTACAAGTGCCCTCGTTTGCACACAGCAGGAGATGGACGTGCAACCATGCTCTAGTCTTCTGGGCATCATTTATTCCCTCAGTGCAACCAACTTCGGTGCACGACACCCTTCCGCTCAGCCAATTCCTCCAATCATTATCCCAGACTTAAATAAGTTGATCACTCGATGCTGCCAATACCCGGTTTCCGGTGGCGCATACGGTGATATCTACAAGTGCATATACCACGGACCAGATGGCGATGCAGAGGTTCGTGCCAGTGTTACAGTCCTTCTATGTTTAGTGATGTGTCACTTAACTGCAGGTCGCCGTCAAAGCAATTCGACCATTTTTCAGCACTGCTGAGGTAATGTTCTGTGACCTGTAACAAACAGATCTCATTAAGCATTCATAGGTGCTCCGGAGAGAACTTGGGATTTGGAAGAGGTTGCGACATTCTAATATCTTGAAGTTCATGGGTACCACCCGAGGCTTCGGCCCATCTGAGGCTTTGGTTGCTCCGTGGATAGTCAATGGCAATCTTACTTCGTTCCTCAGCGAAAACAACGACATCCTTGGGCTGCATGATCGTCTGCTTCTGGTGAGAATTTCAAGTATACTTCCAGTATGCACAGTCGAGCTCATCGTTTCGTCCATAAGCTTCGTGATATTGCCGCTGGCCTCAACTATCGTGAGTGAACGCATGTACATGGTCAAAATGAAAAAAAAATAAAAAGTATCTCCCTCAGTTCATACATTTAGTGTCAATATAGACGGAAACACGTACTTTAATCCCGTCGTTCATGGAGACCTCACTGGTGTAAGATCGCTCATTTATATAATCCCCTATACTCATGATACATTTCAAGAACAATGTCCTCGTCGGTGGTGATAGAACTGCATACGTTTCAGATTTTGGCCTTTCGGGAACTTTGACACAATTGCCTGGCATGACATACCTTGCAATGCTGAACTGTCATGCAGGAGCATGGAGGTGGTCAGCTCTTGAACTTTTTTCTACGGAAGAATCAGCTTCTATGGTTACCACTCACAGTGATATTTACTCGTTTGGTAGCATCATGCTTCAAGTAAGTCATTCCCTCTTTCCGGTGAAGCTCACCAAGCTGTCTTGCAGGTTTTGACGGGAAATTTGCCCTGGTCACACTTGACCCATGACTTCCAGATGTACCAAGTGATCATTGAGCAGAAAAAACATCCTCGTCCGACAGACGATCATATCACTGATCAGCACTGGAATTTTATGACCTCCTGCTGGTCAAAGACAGCCATCAATCGCCCTTCTGCTGAAGAAGCACTTCAGTTTATTGATAGCGAGATCGTTTTGTACGATCTGGGCAGCGTCGACGGTGGACAGCACCCTGCCTTGGTTCCTGTTTCTGGATATTCTCCTCAGCCCTCCCGGCAACTACCCCACTATGTCTCTCTCGTTGTATCCCCACTCAGACTTTGTTTATTTCTCCTTATAATGCTGGCACGCTGGTTAAGTGGCATCGTTTTACCAATCTGCTCACTGGCACCTGTACTTGACCGGGTAATACATAACTTTGGCTGATCAGACACAGGCCGGTATGCACGGCAACCTCTAGTCTTTGAGGTTATGCATAATCCACTTGATTGTATATATAGTAGTGTTCTGACCGGCGTTCTTAATGCACAATGACCTCGACCGTCTTGACATCAGGAAAACCTTCCCATGCAGACTTAGAGCTATTTAGATACATTTTCGAAAGCTGTCAAAATGAATGCTAGTTAACTCTAGGAACTATAGTTTAGCACGAGTTAATGACAATTATCCACACCTAACACGATGTTACAAAGTTATATCTAAGTACGGATTTATAAACACTAGTCATTGGGGTGCGCCACCGATACATACAAGCAAGCGAGAGCAAACAAGAATGAGAATAAGAATGAGCGAGTGAGGGCAGATAGTAACAAGAATGAGGACGAGCGAGTGAGAACACCAGTCACAAGTGCAGTGACATAAAAGTGAAATGAGTAAAAATAAGTAGGAAAGTACTCACAGGCATAGCGACTGCCTTGGATAAATGAAGCCCAAGCGAGAGCGTCCGGCAGAGCATCGTGAGGCAGACCACACTATCAGCACCTGCTGCAGTCACCCATCTCCTAGGATAAGAGTCTGTTAGCTAGGACAATAGGAGCGCTAAGATGGCAGTGGTGGCAGCAGTTTCGGACCTGCGAAAGTTCTTGTCAGGGGGCTACCGCTACCCAAACTGCGCCGACCTTCTCGTTCTGTTTAGGAAATACTACTGAGCCTATATACCTAGTGGGAGTACAGGTCCTGTCGCACAACTGCAACCGCGAAACGACGACCGGCCAGCTGCATTCAGTAACTATGACCCACTGGCAGGGTAGTTTACGGTTGTGAGAGGGTTAGTGGGGGGTAGGAAGCTTCAGACTTCGAGTCTCGTGGCCTTTAGCACATCGAGACCCTAAACCACTTACCGATGACCCTGCCAGTGTTTCCGTGCAGAGACGATACTGGAACCAAAGGCATGCGAAAACGAGCGAAAACAAGTGCAGAAATGCACAGACATGAAAAAATAGACTAGAATAACTAAAAATGAGTACAAACATGTAAAGATAAGTAAGAAGAAACACCCACAAGTGGATTAGATACTAGGGATCGGCGTTGCCGATTTTGACCTTGCTTGCTCGAACAAATATTGATATTCATGATATAAACATAAACGTTCAGTGTGATACAATGACACTAGTACTGACATTTCCTGAATGCTTTCTTTATATTTATATTTTCCCTTTGTGCTTGCACTCCTCTGCCTCTGTATGGATTCTCTTAGCAGGTCTGGCGGCAGCGGAGTATGATGAACGGCAGTCTTTACAGGACCTGCACGAGGACCATTCAATGTCGACGTTGTGGAAAGTATGCGTGACCGAGTCAGCGATGTCCCAGTTAACTGACTTGCAGAGGCTTATGTGGAGCTACAGCATAGGGCACTGGTTTCCGCAGACGCTAAGTATCGATGAAATATGTCCTTTTGACCCTCAGTTCTGCATGTCTGCATGGATTCTTTTAGCAGGTAGAGCATCTGGCAGCGGGGAGAGTGTGGTGAGTCGTAAGCTTTGCAGGATCTGCACATAAATTCACTTTGCCATGACAGCTGGATATACGCAGACACAAGGATCGTGTTTGATATCTCCTGGCTTCATAATATCGACGACAGGATGGATGATGACAATGATGGCAGGGAGACTGATGATTTATTAATGTTTATTATTGTTTATTATTGGCACATAGTCCGTCAGATTTCGTCGCATGCCATATGACCTTGCAAGCAAGGTGAAGAGGTTACTCCCCACGAACACGTCCAACTGTGGACAGTAGGCTATAATTGGCCGCTTCTGATATCGTTGGACCCCCCCCCCCCCCCCCCTCACGTATCTATGCAGTCAAGGCTGCGCCCTGGTCGACTTCGTTGATTGGAGTGACCCTAGTTGTGCTCCTCCCGAATTTGATACCCTTGGAACGCGGTAGTACTAAGCTTCTATCAGCTCCTACTACAGTGACCAGCTAAATATTGTCCGTAGTACCAGTGTGTCCTGCTGCAATCATACTCATTTCTGTGGCTCTTACCGTGGATAGTTTTCTGGCAACTTGTGAGAACTTTACTCAATTTCAGAGGACCTTTTCAAGTTCTGCCAGCAGTCGGTGAGTCCGAGGTTTTACCATGGGGCTCCAAAGTTCAGAGTCAGTAATCGTTGGTTCATTTCCGGAGTCAAGACTTCGACAAACCAGGAGCGGACAATCGGAGGACCGCTAGAATCTCTCAAATGATAATTTGTATCGCTGACCCTATGGTGGACTGCGATCTTTTACGTGCTAGAAGATGGTGGGCTGCCTCACTGCAGTGCATGATGCCTACTAGGGCCAATATAAGTACATCATATTTATGTCGGGTATCAATAACAAGGTAAGCAAGTAATCAACATATAGCGGCTATATAGCGCTGATCGAGTAGCCATGTAGGAGCCAGTCAAACGCTTGAAAACACGTCACGTTGTCATTTTTGGGGAGGATGAACAATGATTCGTCGCTTGAGGTTGTTGAGAATAAACGCCGCATTGACTTCCTCTGGTGTCATCTTGGCCATGACCAAGACACAGGCGCGGGCTTCTTGATAAAGAACTTCTTGGTCCAGACCCCCTTGGTTTAGGGCACCTTGGGCATCACCCGACTCGTGCTCGTCATCGTTGTCGTCCGAATCGGACAAGTCATCGGTATCATCAATGTTCATGTTCCAGGAGCATTGCGATGACATATCCGATGGATTCCGTTGTAGTCTAGCCTCTTTGGCGCGCCGATTATTGAACCAGTTCTTAACTTTCTGGGCTGGACTATGCATCCATTTGGTCAGCTCGGGTGATCGCACTATGTGAAGGAATCCAAACTCACATATCAATCGCCTTGGCCAGTAATTCGATATCATCCTTCGTAGGGTGATCGTTTTTGGCATAATAAGGGTCAAGTATGTTAAGCTGTCCAGTTGTCATACATTTCCTCTTGGGAGCATTTTCGACCTGATAGGGAGAAGTACGCTGAGACCTTTTACTTTGAGATTTCATAGTGATGCACTTGAGCTTTCTTGGAAGACGTTGCCTGGGGCTGGAGGTGATACCAAACAGTTTCCTTCGTGTACGGTATATATACTATCGATCAAGCTACTGTGGATTGTGGCCTACCACTATGGAGATGTGGATATTGGACAGTCCACTGCCTAGTCCTTGTCATCCTAATCGGACAATGACCACAGTTGCTTTGAGAATTCTTTGGCCGCAGCTAGCAGGTCTAAGGGTGGATGACGGACAATTATGGCACATGTGGACACAAAATTTAGTTTCGCATGCATGCGAGGACAGGCAGGCCTGAGTCTGAGTCCGCAAACTACTCCAACTCAAAGGGGCGATATTACATAAAGCCGTATGTAATTTAACTCCGTGACGTTTGGCCGCAGTAGTGACTGGCTGGTATTACTTCTGATCCTGATACACGCACTCAACCCATCTTGACTTGTTTCTGATATCGCAACACTTGTCAGTACTAGGCATCGGCGGACTTGAATTATTGCTGGGTGGCAATGATCTGAGATTTGCCTGTAGCCTAAAGTCTCCGTTAAGAAGTTGTGCAAGTCATCAAAATTGAGATAGGGGACTAAAATGTTAAGATCCCGGATGTCCTGAGATATGTCCCCAGTCATCATCGCGCGAGCCGCGGAACCGGTGACGAGGCTTTCAGATTGACGAAGAGCTGATACCAAGAGCTCAAACGCGGTGTCAGCGAACGGCGCTATGATGGATCTGAAATGTCGATGCACGACACCTTGTCCAATTCTGTGCATTACACGGCAGGTGCGAGACATCACGATGACGTCTGCTATTGTCATCATTGCCAGTATCATAGTAGCAATGTCTTCTTCTTGCACTATAACTGTTGATATGTAATAAGCGATAAACTTAATAGGATCTGCGCGGCGCGTAACTAGGAACTCCTCCAGAGCTGCATTTTGCCATACTGCCTGAATATACGCAGACAAGAGAATGTTTGATATCTGTTGGCATCGACGATGATGACGTTCAACAACAGAAATATTAATGATTTATTGATGTTTATTGATGTTTATTATTGGCACATAGTCCGTCAGATTTCGTCGCATGCCATATGACCTTGCAAGCAAGGTGATCATGATATTGGTCACCCGGTGCAGGCCTGCTTAGTAATTTGGACGAATATCTGACAGTCACGTGGCTGATTTTTTTCCCCCATGTGCACTGGAAAGGAACTTTTGATCAGATCGTCCTCATACCCTTTGAACCTCCATAGAAAATGGCGCCCAACGGACTCGTCCCAAATGGAACTGCAGAGGCTCCGATCGAGATCTCTTCAGTGCCCGCTATTGTTGGCATCAACTTTGGTAACTCATACGCATCTATCGCAGTCTTGACAAAAGTGCGTTTGTTCCTGCTGTCAATCTCATAAAATCTCATATACATTTTTTTTCGGAGGACAGGAAGGCATTTCTGAATGCATAGCCAATGAGGATGGAGAGCGTCAGATTGCTTGTGCTATCGCGTTTCATGGAGAGGAGATGGTATGTGGTAACCTACTTCGTCTTCACCCTACTTACCCAAGTTTTGTCTTTTCAGTATATCGGAAACCAAGCGAGACACCAGCTGGTCAAAAACTCTCAAAATACTATAACCGGATTCCGTAACCTTCTAGGTAAAAAGTGCGTTGTTTGGTGATATTCATCATTGTATCCAGTCTGAGGCCATATGATAGGTTTTCAGAAGTACCACAGGCGGTTTTGTCTGTCTCTGCGCCGGTCATACAACACCCTTCGCTACCCGACTCGGCAGCTTACAAGGTCAAGGTCTTGCAACCCGCACCTTCGCCTCTTAAAACCACCGCTACCAATACACCTGCAGCGTCACAACTTGCTACTCCACGCTCAGAGCCCATCGAGGTTGAGCGCATCCTGACTGTTTCCGAAGTGACCACAATATTCCTCGGTTCGCTCGTGCAATCTGCTGAGGACTTCCTTGGGAAAAAAGTACTGGGCGCCGTAATCGGCACGCCCTCATGGTTCGATGACGCCCAAAGAGAGGCGCTGATAAAAGCAGCAGAGGATGCTGGAATTCACGTCCTTCAATTGCTTGATGATGCAGGTGCAGTTGCCGTCTGCACTGCTGCAGGATCAGAGGAGATCCCCTCTGACCGAACACAGCTCATTGTCGATCTCGGCGCATCATCCCTCGAACTCTCTGTCCTTTCAATCCGCGAGGGCCTCGCGTACTCACTCGCGACTATCTCGGACTCGTCTGTCGGTGGAGATGAGATCGATTCCAAGTTGATCAAATTTTTTGCAAAAGAATTCACCAAAAAAACCAAAACGCCATTAACTGTCGCGCCTGCATCTGATCCTCTTGATAAGCGCGCTGAAGCCAAACTCAGACTCGCAGTTGAGCACACAAAGCGCACGCTTAGCGCGAGTCCTGGTGCTGCTACGTGTTCCGTAGAGTCACTCAAAGACGGTCTCGACTACACCGGTTCCATCAACCGGCTCCGATTTGACATGGAGGTGCGCTCCGTATATGACAAGGTTTACGCAAAGGTGAAGGAGCTTGCTGCGAGCGCAGGGACGGATTTGTATGACATCGACGAGATTGTATATATCGGCGGTTGTGCTTGCTTGCCAGGCCTGGATGAGACTTTAGCTGAAGGTTTCGCCGAAAACGTCATTACCCCCTTCAAGGCTGGCACAGTCGCTGGCGGTGGCACCGGTGACCCAACCACTATGCTGGCACGCGGCTGTGCCCTCCAAGCACAACTGCTTGTCGGCCTCGCTGGAGAAATCGAAGAGGTTCGCCAGGCATTCATCAAGGGCAATGGAACTAGCAGTGTCAGCGCTACGAGCCGTACTATCGGCCTTCTGGTTCCTCAGGTGTCTGCAGAAGAGGGCGGCTTGGGTGGCGTGTGGGTTCCTCTCATTTTGAAGGAGACGCCTCTGCCATGCAGGCGCACTGTCACTGTGGAGGTGAATGTCAGTGGGTCTGAAGATCGAGTTGGCTTCGAGCTCTGGGAAGTTAGCGAAGGTGTTAGGATCGATCATGTCAAGCCCCAAAAATTCGAAGACGAAGAAGACGAGTCCCAGGACGAGGAGGAAGAAGAGTTAGAGGAGGTAAAGGAGAAGACGATCTCAAAAGAAGCATTCTTGGCTTCATTATCACTTTCGCCTTCCAACACTTCCAAGGGCAGGACGAAGGTGCAAGTGCAGGCAATCATTAGCAGCAATGGTGCAGTAGATCTCAGCATAAGGGAGGCGACGAAGAATGGAATGGGAGAAGCTGTGACGGTGACAGTTGGATCTTCATAATGTATCTTGTGATATTGCTGCGCCAAGGCACATTGTGATATGGACGTACACATTTCACCAGGCAGGTGTAGACAGATTTCTCTACTGGATCTCACCGATATCCTCGTTCCATTCCTACACATAGATCATCAATTATCGCAAACATGTCATCCGTAATAGAACACCATGACAACGCACCTCCGGTTTTTCGACAATGAATTTTTTCATGAGCTCCTTGCATTCTGCATTATCAACCACTATGACCTCGACACCTTGGCTTTTCAGCAGCTCTTCACCTCCCACCCAGTTCTCATTCTCTCCGATGACGACACGTGGAATCTTGTAAAGTAGAACTGCGCCTGTGCACATAATACAAGGACTATCCATGCGGTGAGTCATGAGTATTTGATGGAGCTAGCAACCGATGACGATCACTCCCACCTTAAGGTTGTGTACTTCGTTCACCACCAAATATCAGATCTACTGTCCGAACCCATTCACATCGCGAGCCTCACCATCGTGGATTCTCTATACACTTGTGCCTTGAGTCTTCCTGCATCCTCCAAGGCAGCTATCTCCCCGTGCAACGTAGCCGATGACTTCTGAATGCGTGAATTGTGCGAGCATCCCAAAACAACTGCATCTTTTGGATCCGTTGAAGACCCGTGATACACAAGGGCAGCGCCAATCGGGATTCCTCCTTCTTGGTAACTCTTACGTGCCTTTGCTAAAGCTGTGGAAAGTCCGAGTTTGTCTATGCCGTCCATTGAGTGGTCTTGGAGCAAGCTGTTTGTGTTCCGTGTCCCACGTCCTGACAGGATGATTCGCTGGTAGGTCATGGGACCTCGAGTCAGGGGTTAATTTCGGCCCGATATACTTTTGCGAGCACAAAAGGTAATATATGTCAATTACTCCAAAATTGGACAGCCCTGATGGCTCAGTTGGTTAGAGCGCAGGTCTCATATGTTAAATATGACCGAGTAGTTTCGGGCAATCCTGAGGTCGCAAGTTCGAACCTTGCTCAGGGCAGCTTTTTGGTTCTATTTGATCAATGTTATTTGATCAATGTTTTTGTGAAGATCCCATGTCAATTCCGATGTTGCACTATAATCAAGTTCCCTCTACACAGCACAAACTTGTGAACTATTTATTACTTTTGGATAATTTCACACAATTTCAGGTTTCCTCCAGATATTCTCATGTTTTCCTGGATCCAGATTATCACTCCGTGTATTGTATGACTATGTTGAGTAGGTACTGTCCAGCATAGGGCCCCACCCTACCGGACAATAAACTATGATTAAAAAAACAACAAAACAAAAAATTATCTGAATAATTTCTTGGACAAGGAGGTGTATCACGCATGTGCTCAGACTTGCATCAGTTACATTTTTTTGTTTTCATTGTGGCTCAATTGCACCATGTGGTCTGTTTTATCTATATTATTTTAGAGATCAAATCAAGCCCATGTTATCTTCAGCGAGATGCAAAAGATGATTATCATTGATCAAAATTCTCGGTTCTCCATCTCTCATAAGTTTAGAATGGTGAAATACAATAATAACAGCGAAGGGCCCATCTCCACCAATCGCATGAGTGCGCTACTGAAGTCGTAAGTGTTCGTAAGTGTCCGTAATGCACATAAGTTAAGTGTTCATTCTACAGTGTAAGTCACCAAGGGACGGCAACTCTCCCTAGGCTGCAATTATGATCCATATGTGCTCAGATTAAAATTTTGATAGGAAACATAGACAAAAGGAGTGTAAATCTAAATTTCCGAAATTTCGCCTGATTATGTAATTGTTCACTTTTGCTGTCAAATGCCTCCTACCAACAGATAGAAGCAACCAATGCAGCAGTATGTTTCATCATTGAGGTGCTTTGACAATGGGCTGATAGAGGATGTTTTTGGAAGTCTTTCTGGACCCAGGCTATGTTCCCATCTCAGATGCTGAAAATGAAGCAGACTCCAAGTCTAACTTTAATTGGGTTGAATTTTATTTATACTAAGCTAATGGGTCATGTGATAACTAGCATCGTTGTGAGCGACAATGTCTGACTCAAATACCTTCCACTCTCAGTCACTGGGCATGTTCGGCAGCTGAAGGGACAGTGGACATTCCTCACTGCGAAGCACATTTCACCAGAGCTTGATGCATGCCCCGATCAAGACAATACATGCCTTTATCGAAAATCTTGGCAATATATGGATGCTTACAGGTGTGTAATTCAACCAGCTTCATAGTTCTTTCTCACAGTGTCCCATGAAAGGTCTTGATGCACGTCAAGCTGAATTTTGCTGTTAAGAAATACAAATTACATCATTGCAGTCCTACATTGATGATGAGTTTGGGCGTTCTTGTCGAGTAATCACGGAGTCGGCTGTCAGATGCTGCTTACCAAAATAGGAAACTCCGACAAGCTCCGCTCAAAGTTCACTTTTGGCTGATGAAAATTTTGAAACTTGAGTTTTTGAAAAAGTATTCTGATAGACCTACTATACTACTCTAACATAGCATATTTGTGATGTTTTCAAGATGAAAGAGGTTTTTATGAAGGTGTAGATAGAATTACAAGTTTTGATGTCGGTAGTTGCTGCTTTTGAGTGACTTACACTGTAGTGCATCTGAGTGTTGAAACACTCAAAATGCTGCTTTTTGAGTGACAGTTTAGGTATAGGCCAGGGTTTTCTCTTGTACTTGCTGAAAGTGGAAATATTATGCTGTTATGTTGCATGGCGGTCAATTTTGTACTACAGAGATGCATATATTGTGTTTATCAATTGTGTAGATAGTACATTGTGATATGATAAGCTCTACAGATTATTCATGACCTGCCCTGCATAAAGCCTGAGCCTCTGCAATTGAGCAACCTCTTCTGAGCACTAACTCGCGGAACATCTCCCATCTAGTTAACAGGTGCGGTGTCGCTTTGATCATTGCCAACAAAGGAGGAAATGCAGTGTATGAAGTGCCATAGGCTGCTGTTGAGAAGTTTATGGATTGGTGACTCCCTTTGATGAATTCCTGTAGACGACAAAGAATGGCAGTGGCTCCTGCAGGCACAAGATTGTCGAGGCACTCTGGCTCATTAACATATTGTCCATAGCCCAACAGAAAGATCGAGTCGAGAACAATATCAACTATTGCTTCATGTTCAAATGCATAGCTGATATCTTGCCTGTCAGGCAGCTAATTGCAATCTGTCAGATTTACAAAAGTGCAAACAGCTAAACTCATTACCTTGTGGACTGATCCATAAAGGAAAAGCCACATATCTGGCTTTGTGAGGCACACTACCTCGTCTATTTTGTGCTGAATTTCTGAAGCATCTGAGAAGACTGATGGGCGCAAGTTGTACATTACTTACACCAACCCATGTGCTGTTGCTCCGAATGCGCTAAGTATTTCCGTCACCAGTTCAGACACAGTCTTGTACATCACAGAGAGGTTTGTGGAGACCCACACCAGTGCAATTTCTGTAAATGATACCAATAAGTCCTTCAATGTATCAAATGAAAATACATACCTTGCTAGAAGATTGCTGATGTAGCATCATTTAGACCTTGCCACATGAACTCCATCCTCTTCTCGTTAGATGCCAACACGCACTCGTTCACTACCTTTCTCTTCACCATTTCCTTCGCAACCTGGACTATTCATTGAAGGACCACATTCTTCGAGTTGTACAGCAGATCAGGATTGATAGGAGGGTTAGATGGGGGAACATTTGTTGACGATGATGCTGCTGCTGTGCTCATAGATGGTGCAGGTGCAGGCTGCAGAATTGGTGCAGATGATGTGGGTGGAGGCGCTGGCTGCGACTTGGAGATTGAGCCACTAGTGGATGGGGTACAGGGGACTCCCCTCGGTGGCACAAGATGAGGGAGAGGGAAGCATCACCTCTGTGTCTTTTTTATTGTTGAATTATCACCTATGGCCTTATGATTTCAATCAACAACAAATTGATACATAGATTATTTAATTGTTGCTTACCCACACTACACCATCTGTGAATAGGCCTGGGACATCATCAGTGAAGCGCATGGGTGTGAGGGTGTATGCAAGCTCAAATCTTGATGGGTGTCTAGTTCAGATATTGCCAGAGGTCCTAGGGTATTCACCTGTTTGTGCAGTGTGACAATCATATTGGCGCTAGGCATGTATACCTGCATAAGCCTTCAATAGGTGGACCAAAGTTATCCCTCATATTATTCACTACTCCCCTATCAGCAGTCTTCACTTGTCTCAGCCATAACCCTTGTCTGACACTATTCTGCACTTTCCCGCACTATGCGCACACATTCCCACAGCACTATTCATGCTCCCGCGACTTATCCGACGCTATTCCTGCACTTATAGTGCTATCAGAACTACCAGCAATGTGCCTATAGAAGCATTAGTGCATGTCCACTCTATCTAGCACTTGTTCCTGCGCTTAGCGCTCATCCAGCGCGCTGTTCTCACACTCTAGGATCCACCCGAAACATCAGAATCCATCCATTGTCCATCCTACCTCATTGGTATGTAATTTGCCTTGCCTCAAGTTTGTAACAAGTGCTACAGTCTTATTACATGTATATCCTATCCCTTCCAAGTCCGAGATGGTATAGTTTACTAGTATAAGAAGCCTATGGTGACTACTTCGACATTACTTCCCTTTGACTGTATTTCCTTCCCTTAGGTTTTACTTAGAAGTAGTCACCCTTAGTTGTGCTCTATGGCCCCTATTTGACTTTCCCTTATCCTTGCAATCAATACCTTTGATCTCACTCGCTATCCATTACCCTCCTTTGACTCAGTGTCCGCTTTCTTGACTTCCACTCTTTCCTGTGCATTAGCGCTCTATCTTGCGACGCGCTATTCCTGTGCTTTAGCGCTCTTTCAGGTCTTTCGATCTTGAGCTGTCTTTAGTAGCTTTTCCCTCAGGTCGAACATTCTTGCATCTTTGTTGCAAGTATAGCAGCATAGGCAGAGCATTAGACATATACTGGCTGAGTACCTTAACAAGTGCCTAGTCAGGTTCCGAACCCTTCTAAATTTTGACTTCGACATCATTTGTCTCAATGTCAGACTGACCTTGGGGATTTGCACTTTCGGTTGGTCAGGCTGCTTTTAGCCTTTTTGAAGTTAAGTACTAACTTTTTTGGCTACTTCCTCCGTTCTATTCCCTTATCTGATCATATGCAGCCCACTGCGTCCTCAAATTTGAATTCCACCTTTGGCACTCCCGTTCCATCATCAGCACCTCTGCATCCGTCCTCCCTGTGCAGATCATGTTGACCCTCCAATAATCTGTTCAAGACTGCCAAATTTTGCCGTAGTGGAGGATACCCTGACGCAGCTACATAATGTTCATCAATGAGTGATGATCATTGTCAGTACTTCCATTTATTATCTCTCGCATGCTCTCTGACCTCTTTGACAGTCCTTCAAGGAATTTGGGTGAAGCTGTCCGAGGTCACTGTCAAGGGTGCTCAATATAACTCCCCTGAATGTCAGCCCCACCCAAAATGTCTGCAAAGGACCCGGGTAGGATCTCCTCGAATACATCCATGGATTCCTGGTCAACACAGAAGAATCAGCTCGTTTGGCTGCATGGCATGGCTGGCGTTGGAAAGTCTGCTGTTGCGTTCACAGTAGCTGAGAGGATGAGAAGTCTAAAGTGATAGAAGAGATGAATGTCAAAAAGCAGCTAGCAGGAATGCTCTTTTTCTCGTGCAAGCACACGAAACGTTGCATGACTGGATATTTTTTGCGACACTTGTCTACCAGCTTGCCACCAATTTCCCTAGCATCCGGTGTCTTACTAGGATGTGAAAGGCAAGAAAACTCTCCAAATTTCACAATCCTCCACAGTCAATGGTTCAGACAATTACCAACAGTTGATAACGTAGTTGTTCATGGGGGACGAGGTGTGTTGAACTTTTCAAGCGAACACTAGTGATGTAAAAGGGGCAAAGAAACGATAGAAACTAATAACGATAGAAACCAATAGTAGCACAAGATAGTGCTATAACCTTTAGAATAATGTGTTGCAGCTGTATGCAATGAACTAGAACTATACTATATCCCTCTTGGATATTCTTTACTTATACTTCAGCAATGGAGAACAAATTCACTAGCAGGATCGTTCCAATACGTGGCCTCGAAACCAACTCTCTGCTGCTCAGAATCTCACAATGAGTAATGACGCAGTCCAGAGTAGAGTACACCTTCTTGATGTAGTCTTAAGTGGCCAAGCTCTTAATATTCGTTGACAGATTGTAGGTCTTATTTGTGTCTACCCTAATTGATGAATAATACATGAAATTCTCCCCACAGAACTTTTCCTGTATCTAAAAGAGAACTAGAATGATTGAAGATGATAGAATCAAAGATGGCTCAAGAATGTGGCCAAATACTTCTGAAGAATGTGCTTTAAGAATGTGCTAATTGAAGATTATGTAATCAAATGTGGCTCAAGAATGTGGCCAGATACTTCTGAAGAATGTGAAGTATAATGTCAAAACAATGGAGCTAAATAAGCTAATATTTCTCCTGATATTCACTTGAATGTTCACTCAAATAATGGGGACAAAGAATCTAAGGGGTGGAAAGAATGTTCCCCTACGTTCCCCTAACTGTGCTTCACTCTGTTAATACTTGGGAATCAAATTGATTACTTCACAAGAGGGGAAAATGAGCCCCTTATATACTACTAGACTAGTGGCTGTGCTACTGATTACTAATGTACTATAGAATATTCCAGAATGTGTCAGAATTATTGAGAAAGAAACTATAGAATGTTATAGAATGTTATAGAATGTCATGGAATGTTATGGAATGTCATAGAATGATTGGTAAAATACTCATAGAATGTTCTAGAATACTCAGCAAAGGCTGTGTTCAGGTCCTTCTAGCACTGCCTTATTGCTGTGCATTGATTACCAATCCATTCCAAGCTATTTGTTGTATATCTTGTTTGGTTGGCATCACTGCCTTGAGTACATAGATGTAGATAAAGTGTGCATAGAATGTGTATATACATATGTTTTGGCATAGGGGTAAATAAAATAAAGAATTATAGAAAGGGTAAAGGGTACATTAAGTATTTAATTTGAACCGCTAAGTCGTATCTTGGTGATACATGCTCAGAAATGTCCAGAGTAAATTGAAGTAAGGTATAGAAAATTCAGGGGAAGTGCATAGACTGTAGTAAGGAATTGCATGTATCATAAATTTGCCATGACCATGTACGAAACAGGTTTCGTGCGTGTCAGCAGTAACTATCCGAGACTCAACCCTCCCTCCTTTTGTCGAACAGTTAGCTGAATCCTTTGCCGGGTATGCGGTATATGGTATGATGGACTTATATTCAGGTTACGACCAGTGCGCGCTACATGAGGAATCACGTGACCTCACTTCCTTTGGAATGCCATTGGGCCCGCATCGGTTGACAACACTTCTGCAAGGTCATGCTAACGCGGTACAAGTATACCAAGGTGATACCGCTTTCATTCTGCAGGACAAAATTCCAGAGTTCACATCGCCATTTATTGATGATGTACCTGTCAAGTTGGTTAAAACGCGGTATCAAAGAGCTGACGGCTCATACGAAACCATAGCGCTAAACCAGGGCATATGTCGCTTCATATGGGAGCATTGTGTGGTCATCAACTGCATACTCCAGCGACTTGAGAATGTTGGTGTAACCATATCCACTACTAAGTTTGTTCTAGCCACTCCTACCGCTGTCATAGTCGGACACAAGTGTACCTTCGAAGGGCGAGTGCCGGAAGATTCCAAAGTGCAAAAGATCTGCGATTGGCCGGAATGTCATACCGTCACGCAAGTGCGGGGCTTTCTAGGTACTTGCGGAGTCTTACGCATCTTCATTCAGGACTTCTCCAAGATCGTGGAACCCCTTACCAATCTTACCCGCAAAGACGTACCCTTCGAATGGGGTGAAGACCAACAGGTAGCTATGCAGACTCTGAAGGACTCAATATTAGAATCTCCCGCACTCCTTCCACTTGATTATGAGTGCGGTCGCGAAGTTATCCTTGCTGTTGACACCTCTTGCATCGCTGTAGGGTTTATCCTCCTTCAAGTCAGGGAAGATGGCAAGCGCTATCCAAACCGCTTCGGATCCATATCCCTCACGGAAGTCGAAAGTCACTACTCTCAAGCGAAACTTGAGCTTTATGGCCTATTTCGTGCGCTTCGCGCAGTTCACGTTTTATCTTCAGTGTCGCCAACCTTACGGTTGAGGTCGATGCGAAGTATATTAAAGGAATGATCAATAACCCTGACCTTCAGCCTAATGCGACCATCAATCAGTGGATCACAGGTATATTGTTATTTTCTTTCGCGCTTGTTCACGTACCCGCTACCAAGCATACTGGAGCAGACAGACTCTCAAGGAGACCACCCACTGAGGAAGATCCTGACGAGGATGATGATCACAAGGATTGGCTTGACTGCTCATATTCTTTTGGCATCGAAATTCTGAATGATCGTAGTTGTGCTATCACAGGTGCAGGAGCTGATATCATGTGATACCCATACGCCGCACCCGTACCTTACCCGCTGACCTGTTTACCTGCCCTCATTGCATACCTAAACACCCTAGAACCCGATTCCGCAAGTCTAACCATACCCTGCTCAGAAAATGCACAAGCGCTTGACGCCAGATTAATCGAGATCCAATGCTTTTTAGAGACCCGCAAGCGACCCACAGACCTATCGGATGACGACTACAAGTCATTTGTCTCATCCGCTGCACGGTACTTCATCCTCGACAAGAAATTGTGGAGACACAACTCTCAAGGAAAGCACCAGCTAGTAGTTCTCGAATCGCAACATTTTTGCATCTTAAAGGAAGCACATGACGACCTTGGACATAAGGGAGTATTCAATTCGAGCCCGACTTCTCTTACGCTTCTGGCGGCCTATGATTATTGATGACATCAAATAGTACAATAGGACATGCATGAATGCCAAGTCAGGCAAAGTTGCAAGTTGCACATTCCTCCGACCTGTCCCGATCCCAGGCGGTATTTTCAGGAGCGTGCATATTGATTGTATGATGATGCCTAAAGCAGGCGGATTCGACCGACTAGTCCATTGCACGTTGCGCGCTAACAGGATATCCAGAATGGCGCATGTTACGCAAGGAGAATACCAAACCCTTGTCGCATTCTTATTCGAGGAACTTCTTTGCAGATGGGGACCTCTACCAAAATCATTACCGACATTGGACCCTGCGTTCCGTTGCAGCAGCTGATGAACTTGCAGCCCGCTATGGAATTTCACCCGAGCCATGTCTCAGCGTACAACTCTCAAGCTAATGGTATTGTTGAGCGACATCACTATGATGTCCGGGACGGCCATCATGAAAAGTTGCGATGGGGATGAGGCGCACTGGTATCAGTCCGCGCTCATCAGTACTTTGGGCAGAACAAATCACTGTTCATCAAGCGACAGGAATTACGCCTTATTTCATGGTTCATGGCGTCGAGGCCTATCTTTCCCGTTTGGACCTTGGCTGAAGGAACATTTCTAGTAGTGATACCTGACCAAGACACCTTTTCAACGATGGATCTAGTCGCATGGAGAGCCCCGACAACTGCAGACGTGACAAGAAGACCTCAACAATATCAAGGAGAAAGTACTCAAGGCACGCTATAGTCTATCTGCAACTTGAGCAGCGCTATCGTTCGCTCGATCATAGATTACGACTTCGCGCCTGGCGCACTCGTTCTAGTCCACAACTCTAAGGTTGAGTACAAGCTAAGTCACAAGATGAAGCCACGATCTAGGTCCTATGATAGTCATCCACTGCACTAAGGGCGGGTCATACATCCTTGTGGAACTAGATGGTTCTGTGTCCCGACTGCACTATGCAGCATTCTGCCTACTCCCTTATCTTCTGTGCAGCGAAACTAAAGTCTCAGTTACTAGCATCACAGGTCTAGACAATGAAGCACTGAATACTCTAGCAAGTGAAGACATAGAAGAACCACCCGACGAAGTGCTCGATTTCGACTTCGATGCATGAACCGCCAGCACTCCTCAAACACCGCCAATAGACCCATTCCCGACATCTGCTTTCTCTCATAAAAACAAAAACACAAAAACAATACCGCTCTTAGTACGATAGTCTCAGTTCCACCCGGGTTTAGTCTGGTGTCTCAGTTTCATTCTTCTGCTCTCAAAGGACTCACATATGTTGCGGCCATCCGCGCATAGACTTTATATTGCAACACAGACATTACAAAGGATTGGACTATTTCATGCGAAAGATCAATTACCATACATTTTCTCTTTGAACGCATAGGCAGCGCACCACGCACATTGACATGGTTTAGGGATTAAGTTGTGCACAAATAGCGACAGGAGGAATAGACAAGGAAGCGCAACAAAGAAGCCAAGTCAGGTGGTATCCCACCAATTGACCCGACTGCGACTAGTATCATTCACCTTCTTCTGCATCGCGACCGCGTGCTCATTTTACCTTACTTGTCTCTTAGGCACCCAGTGGAGTTAGGATCGGCACATTGGATTTGGACATGGGACATAGGATTCAAGATTACCTGGACCAAGACATGCGATCACTCAGGATATTCATGCGACCGACATTCCAATTCATGCGCTATTTAATTCCAGTCTACATTGTACACTAGCGCTAACAAAGTCCAAACATGCGACCTAGGGAACCCTATCTACCGAAGCCTCCTCCTCTTCTTACAGCGCACCACCAAGGAATCCACCTCCGTCATCATTTCCATAAGCATCCCCTGCATAGTCAGCATCTTGGTGTATAGCGCCCGCACCTTGCCTTCCAGATAGATGTCTTCGTTGTCGGCATCAGCATCTGCCAAGAGGTTGAACTCAACCTCCCGACTCTCTGGCGACTTCCGCTTTTGCGAGTCCTCTACCGACTCTTCCTCTTCCTCCTCTCTTTCCTCCTCCTCATCTTCAGAGTTGGCAGTAGTCCCATCCTCTGGAGTCTCCCTAGGATGGCGGATAAGGACACCCGCTGTAGAGACTCGATCCTGAGTAGCCTCACAATGGCATATATTGCACTGTAGGTCGAGTCTACAATACTATGTATGCAACGCGACACTAGCGCGATAAACGCGACGTTCGCGCGACGCACGCGACTTAGGCGACACTTCCGCGACATAGGCGACACTTGCGCGACTTGCGCGCGCTTTAGGCGAATTTCCCGCGCCTAAGCGCTATAGGGCGCCTGACTTCCCACTGTGTTTTCCCATGTCCAATCAAGTTCCCAGGTATGCATTTCTCCATTTATCATTTATTTCAACATCGTACCATGTTTATTTTCACTTGGTACACATTTTTCATTACACATTTTTTTTACTTTACAGAACACACATTACCACAGACCACCATCATCATAGACAGTCACCATCTCCGAGTTTTTATTATGTTTTGAATAAATCATCGCAAGCCCTAGTAGCAGTTAGCTCTAGTGGCCATATCCACATCAGTTGTCTTATCAGCGTTCAGTACACGTCTTAACATCTCACTATCGCTCGCATACCGCTTTCACCCAGTTCCGCTTTTCGACGCGCGACTATCCCGCGCTTCGCGCGCCTATAGCGCCTTTGTTCCCGCGCTTTCGCCTTATCACGCTTTGCGCATTCCCCCTAGAGTTGACCAGTGGATTTGCTTTCTCCGCTTCCCTAAGGGACGAACATATCGCACTCATATTTTCCTCCCTTCAACAATTATATCAGCTGCACCCTCAGCTGAGTTGAAGATCCTTCACCGCCCCGCAGAGGAACTTGGAGTGGGAGCAGAGGGCGCCCTTACCGCTGCCTTTGCCGCAACAGCGCATGCAGCAGCCCTCTCCTTTGCGACTGCGACAAGTATCAGTAAAGTTGCGACCCTTACAAGCCGGGACCACTTACCTCCATGCCTATGAGTAGAGTACTCGCATTTCTTGCAAGCATCCTTGCACAGCTCACAGGAATTTCCTGGCTTGCCAACGCAAGGCTTCTTGGCCTTTACGCATCGAGCGCAAGGGACAGGATGCACAACAGGCACAACAGCGCGTGGGGTCTTCTAGAAACCGAAGTCAGGATGCCAGAAGGCAAGGTAACCGATCCACTTACCAATGGCTTCCTCCTACCCGCCACAGCGCCAACAGTTGCAGCGTGTTTAGTGACCAACAGAGGACGAACATCCACCTCCTCTTCATCCAACTCCCCTTCCGCATCAGCGTCGGCATCCGCATCGCCCATGGCCTCATCTGTCTCGCCGACTTCTCCTTCTCTTTCTCTTTCTCCTTCTCTAACTCCATCTCCTGCTCCTTACTTACTCCCGCTCAAGCGCCGCCTGCTCGTCCACAAGTCGCTGGACCTCCACCTTGTAGGCATGGACTTGACCAGAGTATAGTTTGTTGGCCTCTTCCACCTTGCGACCAAATGCGACCTCATCCGATGAGAGCGGAAGGTTCATGTTATATGTCTTGCAGTTTAGCGCATTGTCGCTAAGTTCCTGCTGTAAAGAGAGTTAGAAATCAAGAAAAGAGCTAAGTCGGAAATGGGAACTCACCACAAGCTTAGTCCAGTCACGGACCCACTCTTCCTTTCGCTGGATCAATTCAGGGCAGTGAAGAGATAAAAGGCTGCTGCCAGTGCAAGACAGGAGAGCAGGGGCAGTATGAGCCCAAAGGACTTCTGACTAGGCTAAGCTCAAGAGAGAGTGAGAGAGAGAGAGAGTGTGTGTGTGTGTGTGTGTGAGAGAGAGAGAGAGAGAGAGAGAAAGGGTATGAAAATGTCACTCCAGACAATGAGGCAAGACTGTGTATCAGGAGCTTTATAGTGAGCTATTGAGCTACTACTAAAACTAATAAGCTGCAAGTCTGGGGAAGCTACTGAATCCTAGAAGGAGAGCTACCAGAAATATAACTGAAAGTCCAGCTAGTGAGTGGAAGTGTAGGGCGAAGATTTGATGCTTATGTAAGCAGTAAAAATGCGAACATAAACAAGGGAAAGTAAGAGTAAGTAAGGCTAAGTAAAAGTGTCAGTCTGCACCCAGAGAGAATCCAATCCCTACAGTGGTCCTCGGGGATAGCCTCGACCAGGTGCACTAGTTTAAGTCTGAGGTCAGCAAAGGCACATTGCAGTTTGTCGACGTTGGGGTTAATGACTTCTGAGAAGGTGAATGAAGACATGATTGAAAGTATGAGATGAAGGAGCGGATGAAGGAAAGGTCGGAGGGTTCTTATAGGGAATTGCGATCCAGCCCACACTTCCATTGACCCCGACCCACTCTTCGCGACCACCGCATGCCTATTATTCCTTGCATTGTTCTAGTCCACCAATCACGACCACCGTGTGTTTACACTTCCACCCACTGTTCCGGCTTATTGATTGTGTCCACCGCTTCTATCAAATTTCCGCACCCCGATCATCACTTCCATATCAGGTCGCCATTGATCATGTGCCCTTATCAATGGACAAAAATTTTGCTAAGTCCAAGTCGCGACATGAGACCAACTGGGGACAGTTGGTATTCGAGTCTCCCGCAGATGTGACAATCATACCAGTGCTAGGTGCATATGAGTGTCATAGGCATATTTTGCCTTGTCTAGAGGAAAAGAGTAAGGCGCTAGTCACCAGCGCTATTCAGCTCCCAAGCTATCGCTTTGGAACCACTTTCTTTACAGCACGCTACCCGGTCCGACGCCTAGGTATTCCATCCTCCCATGTCCTGCCTATGTCCACCTACCTCTGCTGGTGCATTATTTTCCTTAAATGTCGCTACTCATCAGTCGCAGGTCTTATTACATGTATCCTTGTGTTCTGCAGCGCTGCATGTTTTATTACCTGTCGCTAATCATGTCCTCGCCAGTGTCGCTACTATACTTGCCTACACAATTCCAAACTCTTACGCAGTATGATAAAATGACCCGTCGCACATACAGTACAGTACTTCCCTTCCCTGGACCTTGCTGGTGTTGGAGTCACTTTAGTCGCTATATCCTAGTCTTGGTGCAATCGATTCCACTCTTGCCAATCTCTTTGATCGTGTGGTGAAAGAAAATAGTAGTCAGCTGGGTATACCAACTAACTTGCTAAATCCTAATGGGTGCGATGTAGAGACTGCTTTCTGTGGGCTCATATGGGCTCATTTTACAAATTCTGACAACTGGCCTTCATGGCCAACTTGCACTATCATCCACTATGACTTCCCTATAGAGCACACCACTTTCCCGCAAAAACACACCATAGGCGCGCTACTTTCCCACACTATGCGCAGCATTCCCGCATGCGCGCCTTGCGCGCTTTCTCGCGCTTAAGCGCACTACGTCACACAGCATCCAGGAGCATCCATCCATCATCCAACCAGTCCCTTGGTATGTATGTCCCTTTTCATTATCTGACCATATTTGGCATATTACACTTCCCATTTCATTATGCACCCTTATTTTACATCACTTTACCTCACTTACATACTTAGAGTGCTCCCTATTCGGCTCCGAGCCCTGGGAGAGCACTTAGGTAAAACTTACATACCTTCATGTTCGTTTTACACCCAACTTTTGGACCTTAGCTTCTTACCATTTTCCACCTTAGCTTCCTACCACTCAGTATCTATCACCAGTTAGTTCCATGCAATGCATGTGTCCATCATCGTCTTGAGGCCCTAGCATCAGTCTATAGCTAGTGGCACTATCAGTATCCGTCAAGATCCGCACTTTTCCTCTTATCAGTCTCAGTATATATCTTTTACACCTGTGCACCGCTTGCACTACCTTCCCGTGCTCCGCGCACTTTCGCACTTCGCTTTCCTGCGCGCGCCTTCAGTGCATTTCTCGCGCTTCCACCACCATTCACCAGGGTTGTTCAGCATCATTCCGTGGATCCTTGCTTTCCTTGCTTCTCCTTTAGGGTCGAACGTTCTTGCATTCTGCGAGTATAGCAGCTAGGCAGAGCTGAGACTCACTTATACTGGTTGAGCACTTTTCTTATATGTGCCTGCCAGGTTGTGATCGCCACAGCGAGTGCAGTACTTCGACCCAAGGGGACTGCTATTGAAGCACTTCCTTCTAATAGTGCGAGGGAAGAGAAAGGAAGAAACTAAGATCTAAGACCTGAGATATCCAACCGACCAAGGTCCGAGTCCGAGAATGTCTGACGCAACATGAGATACCGATGAAGGGCACTGACGTGAGATAGATACCGATGAAAGACACCGATGCAAGATATCGATGCGAGGTGAGGAGTCCAATGCCGATGAGCAGCAGGTAAGTCTAGGCCAAGGTAAGGAGAGCCCAGGTATAACTAGGTATGACGAGGTAAGACTAGGTATGGGTTGCCGACGTAAGACTACCGGTAGCGGTCCGGATCTCACAAGGCCTAGATATAGAAACCTTAGATAGAGTGCACTTAGAGCAGTCAAGGCACGTCCGATGATAAAGGCAAAGGGGATCAATTGCACAATCAAAGACTAACTAAGGTGACTCCTACAACAGTACCAGGAATGTCCAAGGAAGGGAAGTAGTGGATAATACGAACTTGAGTCCTATTTATCTAACTGCGTGAACGTCCGGAATCGCACAGGCAAGAGTAGTAGCGAAACACGAGGTACTCGGGTCGATATGTAATAAGGCTCACGAGTGCTGCGGCCATGGGAATACATGTAATAATGCCTGCTGTTCGTTCAGTAATAGTAAAATAAGCTTAAAACGCACCAATGGAGATAGGTGGACATGGGTAGGACATGGGAGGATTTGGTACCGATGGGACGGAACGGTCGGCCAAGGTGCGTGATGGCCGATCCAACAAGCAAGGGACGGTTAAGACAACCCTGGCTCTTCTGCGAGAGACCGAGACCACAGATCTGTATCGGCCAAGTCGGACATAGACCGGCGCGACATAGGTGAGTCGAGTGAGTTGAGACTTTGCAAGAAAGTGGTGTATGGATGTGATGTGGATATCTAGGCTGCTTGACTCCTATAGCGAAATGGGGTTCTGCGAGGCTAGCCCGAGCTTGAACACCACAGTGTGTCGCTTGACTTGCTTTAAGTGCACATCGCTAAAGTTTCCCTCTTAAGTTTGACTTTCGCAACGTTGGGATCGCTATCGGTAGTTGAGCTATAATCTAGTCGCTATCGGGCATTTCACTTGCACTGTCTTACCTTACTCCTCGCTTTCACTCCTTTTGATTTCTACTCGCTGTCGCTAGTTGGATGTCGCATAGCGCTATCGCATAAAACAGCTTGGATAGCGCTTCTCACTTATACGCACATTTCTCTGTCGGAACTCACTTGTCGCTGATCGCTATAGCGCTACTTATTGGTTTTTGGTCTTAGGTCACTATAGGTTATTAGTCCTTCGCGCTATCACTTCCCTTGCATATTAGTAGGGAGTTGCTTCAATAGCAGTCCTCTTGGATCGAATACTACACTCACGCCTATTGGGATAAGTAGCGCTAGTTTCTAACTGGCCTAGTCGCTATTTCTCTTTCACAACAATCTCCTACTGAGTCCTATTTAACTAGCTATGTGAAAGTCTGGAGTACTGTAGGCAAAAGTAGTAGCACATCATCGTGGCTGACAAAATATGTAAAAGGCCATGAGGTGCTGTGGCCAGTGGGAATACATGTAATAGCGCTGTCTACTGCATCAGTAATAAGAAAATAAATGACTACACACCTAGTGGGGTAAAGCATGACTGGACAGGACATAGGTAGGATGAGTCCACAGGGTATCTGAGCAGGTCTGATCATCGGGTTGCATTGGGGTTGTCGGGTTGCATTGGGGTTGTCGGGTTGCATTGGGGTTGTCGGGTTGCATTGGGGATGACTAGGGGTGAGTCAGACAACATGGGGTATGGACGCAAATTGCATAGTGGCTTCATACAAGCCCAGTTGAAATATGATTGTCACACCAGCAAAGAATATCTTCAAATAAAAATGCACCTAGTGTCCTCCCAGTTTCTCTCCTCAACATTCTAAATTCGGGCCAAGTAGCCTAGTCAATGAGCATTGTGCTTGAATGATGTAGGAAAATCCATGGGCTGCAGGCAATACATAGAGTCAGTGAAAACTTTTTGGAAGAGAGTTGCAGGAATCAGGATGTTGGGAGGAAGGACAACTTTTTTGACAGAACAAGTTTGACATTGGTGACAGGTCTTAAGGTACCAGGAGACGTCCTTGTCAAGGGAGGGCCACCAGAAGCGATCTGCAATTGTCCGTTGAGTATGGTAAAAGCCTTTATGGCTGAGCTTGTCATGAACATCATGAAGGATGTAAGCTTGTTCTGGAGCAAAGATTATCAATTGGTGGCATCCTCCTGCCTCTTTTCGCCATAAACACTTTCGTTGAATGAAAAACTGATGTGCCCGTTTGGCAAGACAGATATGATCTTTGCTGGAAGTTGAGGAATGGAAGGAGAGTGTGTCCAGGTAAGTATGAATGGCAAGAAGTTCATTATTGAGGCATGTCAAGATGTCATTGGAGGGAGGTTCAATATGAAGGGAGTGTGGGAGTCCCGCAGTCATAAGGATGAGTCTGCTGTTCTTCATCTTGGCTAACCACTTGTTATCAACTTCCTTCACTATCCACATCCCACATCCTAAAATTTCATCTATCAAGTCTTCCATGTTTTCCTGCATCTCCTCAAGGTCTTCTTGGTCTCTGGGTGCCATGGGTTGTCGAGATAGGCCATCTGGTGCTACATGTTTGTTTGCAGGGACATGTCTGAGGGTGAAGTTGAAAAGGGATATGCCAGTGATCCAACAGTTGACAGCAGCGTTAGGTTGAATATCAGGATGATTAAGCATACCGTGAATATACTTGGTGTCCACTTTGATGGAGAAGATCTTAAATCCTATGAGCCATATCTTTGCTGCACACAAGGCTCGAAATAACTCATATAGCTCAATTTTGGCTTGAGAGTACTGTGACTCATGCTCGTTCCAAGTAATGGAACCAAATCTTGAGGGACAATGACAACCTTCTGAATTGACTTGGAAAAGAATCCATCTGGACACTATATGAGACAAGTCCACTGCTAAGATGACTTTGAGTGAGGAGGAGTAGTCGATGGGGTGAATTGCAGGAGAATGGATGATTGCGTCTTTGAGGGAGTCCATGGTGTTTTGTGTGGATGAATCCCACACAAAAGGAGTGTTGAGACATGTAAGGTTCGTGAGGGGTCTTGCAATC